TAGGGTTTAGGGTTTAGGGTTCAGGGTTTTGGGTTTAGGGTTTGGGGTCTAGGCGACCACCCTGAGCCCAAAAGAAAAAATGACAAGGTGGCACAAGCGATGTGAGTCACACCCCCGGCAGACCCTGCCCACCCCTCAACCTTCCTTGACCTCGTCTTGTTTCCAGGGCATCTCAGCGTTGCCAGCTACCGCGCCCAGCGATCCCTGGCCGCCCTGGCCCCAGTCACAGCCTGTTTGCTGTACAGAAGCTGCAACAGCGCACGCCAAGTTCTGGCACACAGCTGGGAAACAGGCCTGCCAAGACGGCAGGAGAACACAAAACCTCACAAAATGAAACTTGCAGACACTAGCCGTCGAGTCCCTCATCGCGTCGCGTCAGACATGAACATGAGGGTTTGACCCTCTTCGACATATCTGGCTGCGACGCGCCGCAAACGTGGCAGCTTCCCAGGCATTCTAAGCTCAGAAGCACTTGCGGTGAACGATGGTCGGGCCGCTCTCATCGTACTCGCCCTTGGAGATCCACATCTGCTGGAAGGTGCTCAGGGAGGACAGGATGGAGCCTCCGATCCACACACTGTACTTGCGCTCCGGGGGGGCCACCACCTTGATCTTCATGGTGGAGGGCGCCAGGGCCGTCAGCTCCTTAGTCATTCGCTCGCCGATGCCCTGGAACATGGTGCTGCCACCGGACAGCACGATGTTGGAGTAGAGGTCCTTGCGGATGTCCACATCGCACTTCATGATGGACTGAAACGTTGTGTCGTGGATGCCGCTGGCCTCCTTGCCTAGGAAGCTGGGCTGGAACAGCACCTTGCAAGCAACGGATATCACGTTCAGCGGCTTACTGTATAGCAGCTTAAAGTTTAGAGTTTAGAGCCGCGCGCACCCGCTGAAGATGTTGAAGACCTGCTATAGGCTCTGCTCAGACCCCTCCCGGCCTCCGGGCAGCGGAAGCGCTCGGCACCAACGGTAATAACCCGTCCATCCGGAAGCTCATACGTCTTCTCCTTGTCACTGCTCTCGCTGGCCGCCTTGGTTTCGCTGTCGTAGTCCAAGGCGATGTAGCACAGTTTCTCCTTGACGTCGCGGACGATCTCACGCTCGGCCGTGGTGGTGAAGGAGTGGCCGCGCTCGGTCAGGATCTTCATCATGTACTCTGTGAGGTCACGGCCCGCCAGGTCCAAACGGAGGATGGCATGGGGCAGCGAATAGCCCTCGTAGATCGGCACCGTGTGCGAGACCCCGTCGCCGCTGTCCTGCGCAAACGACGAATTCTTAAAGCAACCTAAGGATCGTGAATCGTGCCTGAAGAGGGGCCTGGCTCAGCCATACACCCTAAGCCGAACCCTCAGACGGTCCATGACGATGCCCGTGGTGCGGCCGGAGGAGTAAAGGGAAAGCACCGCCTGGATGGCCACGTACATGGCAGGAACCTCAGCAGACTTCAAGGGTTTCTAGGGCATGGGGTCAGCGGCCTGGTTTTTCGGATGGGTTCAGGTGGCGACTCCAACAGAAAGTGACCCTATGGCACAAGACTTCCGGCATTTCGACCCTGAACCTCGAACTCCATGCCAAACTCCTAACTGAGGAGACCCAAGGGACATTGAAGGTTTCGAACATGACCTGCGTCATGCGCTCACGGTTGGCCTTCGGGTTCAGGGGTGCCTCCGTCAGGAGCACCGGGTGCTCCTCCGGAGAGACCCGCAGCTCGTTGTAGAAGGTGTGGTGCCAGATCTTCTCCTGAGGCCAGGGCGGTTGGACGTGAGTGCTCCTGCTGTGGCTGTCATGTCCTTCCATCTCGCTGTGCTAGGCCTCCTAGGCGATATCCAACCCACCTTCCTCCCCCCGGCTCTGCTGTTGGCTAAGGCAGCTAAGGCTCCATGTCATCCCAGTTGGTGACGATGCCGTGCTCGATGGGGTATTTCAGGGTTAGGATACCCCGCTTGGACTGGGCCTCATCGCCAATGTAGGAATCCTGACAGACTCACGCAAGATCTGCACCTCTACACTGCTAGGTACTGCTAGCACGGCTCCCCAGGCTCTCTACGCCGTGAGGATGTTCGCGGGTTTGGGGGTTTCTGGAGGCTGTTTAAGATTGCGCTTCGCCACGCAAGCCCCTAAATGTTTGGCTATACGTCTTCCGTCCTTCTGGTCCGTGCCCACCATGATGCCCGGCATCTTGGGGCGGCCAACGATGGAGGGGAAGACGGCGCGCGGGGCGTCGTCCCCAGCGAATCCCGCCTTGCACATGCCGCTGCCGTTGTCCACCACCAACGCGGCCACCTCCACGTCGCCCATGGCTTGCAGGAAAGGAGCCGACGGAGGAGAGCGGGTCTCGCCACCAAGAGCTGTACAAGCTGCCACGGCACGGCGCAAAAGGCAGAACTGACATCGATGACAAGGTGGCAGAAGCGACGTGTGTGACACCCACTTAGGACCCTGCCCACCCCTCAACCTTCCTTGACCTCGTCTTGTTTCCAGGGCATCTCAGCGTTGCCAGCTACCACGCCGAGCGATCCCTGGCCGCCCGGTCGCAGCCCGTTGCTGTACAGAAGCTGCAACAGCGCACGCCAAGTTCTGGCGCACGGCTGGGAAACAGGCCTGCCAAGACGGCAGGAGCACACAAAACCTCACAAAGCCACACTTGCAAACACTAGTAGGTAGACCCTCGACACCGAGTCCCTCATCGCGTCGAGTCAGACATGAACATGAGGGTTTGACCCTCTTCGACATATCTGGCTGCGACGCGCCGCAAACGTGGCAGCTTCCCAGGCATTCTAAGCTCAGAAGCACTTGCGGTGAACGATGGTCGGGCCGCTCTCATCGTACTCGCCCTTGGAGATCCACATCTGCTGGAAGGTGCTCAGGGAGGACAGGATGGAGCCTCCGATCCACACACTGTACTTGCGCTCCGGGGGGGCCACCACCTTGATCTTCATGGTGGAGGGCGCCAGGGCCGTCAGCTCCTTAGTCATTCGCTCGCCGATGCCCTGGAACATGGTGCTGCCACCGGACAGCACGATGTTGGAGTAGAGGTCCTTGCGGATGTCCACATCGCACTTCATGATGGACTGAAACGTTGTGTCGTGGATGCCGCTGGCCTCCTTGCCTAGGAAGCTGGGCTGGAACAGCACCTTGCAAGCAACGGATATCACGTTCAGCGGCTTACTGTATAGCAGCTTAAAGTTTAGAGTTTAGAGCCGCGCGCACCCGCTGAAGATGTTTCAGACCTCCTATAGGCTCTGCTCAGACCCCCTCCCGGCCTCCGGGCAGCGGAAGCGCTCGGCACCAACGGCAATAACCCGTCCATCCGGAAGCTCGTACGTCTTCTCCTTGTCACTGCTCTCGCTGGCCGCCTTGGTTTCGCTGTCGTAGTCCAAGGCGACGTAGCACAGCTTCTCCTTGACGTCGCGGACGATCTCACGCTCGGCCGTGGTGGTGAAGGAGTGGCCGCGCTCGGTCAGGATCTTCATCATGTACTCTGTGAGGTCACGGCCCGCCAGGTCCAAACGGAGGATGGCGTGGGGCAGCGAATAGCCCTCGTAGATCGGCACCGTGTGCGAGACCCCGTCGCCGCTGTCCTGCGCAAACGACGGAAGCAACCTAAAATCCAAGGATCGTGAATCGTGCCTGAAGAGGGGCCTGGCTCAGCTTGTCATGCTTGTCTGATGCGATACCCTAAGCCGAACCCTCAGACGGTCCATGACGATGCCCGTGGTGCGGCCGGAGGAGTAAAGGGAAAGCACCGCCTGGATGGCCACGTACATGGCAGGAACCTCAGCAGACTTCAAGGGTTTCTAGGGCATGGGGTCAGCGGCCTGGTTTTTCGGATGGGTTCAGGTGGCGACTACAGAAAGTGGCACGCTATGGCACAAGACTTTCGGCATTTCGACCCTGAACCTCGAACTCCATGCCAAACACCCTGCAAACTGAGGATGCCCAAGGGACATTGAAGGTTTCGAACATGACCTGCGTCATGCGCTCACGGTTGGCCTTCGGGTTCAGGGGGGCCTCCGTCAGGAGCACCGGGTGCTCCTCCGGAGAGACCCGCAGCTCGTTGTAGAAGGTGTGGTGCCAGATCTTCTCCTGAGGCCAGGGCGGTTGGACGTGAGTGCTCCTGCTGTGCCCCTCATGTCCTTCCAGCTCACTGTGCTATGCATCCTAGGCGATATCCAACAAACCTTCCTCCCCCCTTCCCGGCTCTGCGTCGGCTAAGGCTCCATGTCATCCCAGTTGGTGACGATGCCGTGCTCGATGGGGTATTTCAGGGTTAGGATACCCCGCTTGGACTGGGCCTCATCGCCAATGTAGGAATCCTGACAGACTCACGCAAGATCTGCACCTCTACACTGCTAGGTACTGCTAGCACGGCTCCCCAGGCTCTCTACGCCGTGAGGATGTTCGCGGGTTTGGGGGTTTCTGGAGGCTGTTGAAGATTGCGCTTCGCCACGCAAGCCCCTAAATGTTTGGCTATACGTCTTCCGTCCTTCTGGTCCGTGCCCACCATGATGCCCGGCATCTTGGGGCGGCCAACGATGGAGGGGAAGACGGCGCGCGGGGCGTCGTCCCCAGCGAATCCCGCCTTGCACATGCCGCTGCCGTTGTCCACCACCAACGCGGCCACCTCCACGTCGCCCATGGCTTGCAGGAAAGGAGTCGACGGAGGAGAGCGGGTCTCGCCACCAAGAGCTGTACAAGCTGCCACGGCACGGCGCAAAAGGCAGAACTGACATCGATGACAAGGTGGCAGAAGCGACGTGTGTGACACCCACTTTGGACCCTGCCCACCCCTCAACCTTCCTTGACCTCGTCTTGTTTCCAGGGCATCTCAGCGTTGCCAGCTACCACGCCGAGCGATCCCTGGCCGCCCGGGCCCCAGTCGCAGCCCGTTGCTGTACAGAAGCTGCAACAGCGCACGCCAAGTTCTGGCGCACGGCTGGGAAACAGGCCTGCCAAGACGGCAGGAGCACACAAAACCTCACAAAACCACACTTGCAAACACTAGTAGGTAGACCCTCGACACCGAGTCCCTCATCGCGTCGAGTCAGACATGAACATGAGGGTTTGACCCTCTTCGACATATCTGGCTGCGACGCGCCGCAAACGTGGCAGCTTCCCAGGCATTCTAAGCTCAGAAGCACTTGCGGTGAACGATGGTCGGGCCGCTCTCATCGTACTCGCCCTTGGAGATCCACATCTGCTGGAAGGTGCTCAGGGAGGACAGGATGGAGCCTCCGATCCACACACTGTACTTGCGCTCCGGGGGGGCCACCACCTTGATCTTCATGGTGGAGGGCGCCAGGGCCGTCAGCTCCTTAGTCATTCGCTCGCCGATGCCCTGGAACATGGTGCTGCCACCGGACAGCACGATGTTGGAGTAGAGGTCCTTGCGGATGTCCACATCGCACTTCATGATGGACTGAAACGTTGTGTCGTGGATGCCGCTGGCCTCCTTGCCTAGGAAGCTGGGCTGGAACAGAACCTTGCAAGCAACGGATATCACGTTCAGCGGCTTACTGTATAGCAGCTTAAAGTTTAGAGTTTAGAGCCGCGCGCACCCGCTGAAGATGTTTCAGACCTCCTATAGGCTCTGCTCAGACCCCCTCCCGGCCTCCGGGCAGCGGAAGCGCTCGGCACCAACGGCAATAACCCGTCCATCCGGAAGCTCGTACGTCTTCTCCTTGTCACTGCTCTCGCTGGCCGCCTTGGTTTCGCTGTCGTAGTCCAAGGCGACGTAGCACAGCTTCTCCTTGACGTCGCGGACGATCTCACGCTCGGCCGTGGTGGTGAAGGAGTGGCCGCGCTCGGTCAGGATCTTCATCATGTACTCTGTGAGGTCACGGCCCGCCAGGTCCAATCGGAGGATGGCGTGGGGCAGCGAATAGCCCTCGTAGATCGGCACCGTGTGCGAGACCCCGTCGCCGCTGTCCTGCGCAAACAACAAATTCTTAAAGCAACCTAAGGATCGTGAATCCTGCCTGAAGAGGGGCCTGGCTCAGCCATACACCCTAAGCCGAACCCTCAGACGGTCCATGACGATGCCCGTGGTGCGGCCGGAGGAGTAAAGGGAAAGCACCGCCTGGATGGCCACGTACATGGCAGGAACCTCAGCAGACTTCAAGGGTTTCCAGGGCATGGGGTCAGCGGCCTGGTTCTTCGGATGGGTTCGGGTGGCGACTACAGAAAGTGGCACGCTATGGCACAAGACTTCCGTCATTTCGACCCTGAACCTCGAACTCCATGCCAAACTCCCTGCAAACTGAGGAGGCCCAAGGGACATTGAAGGTTTCGAACATGACCTGCGTCATGCGCTCACGGTTGGCCTTCGGGTTCAGGGGGGCCTCCGTCAGGAGCACCGGGTGCTCCTCCGGAGAGACCCGCAGCTCGTTGTAGAAGGTGTGGTGCCAGATCTTCTCCTGAGGCCAGGGTCGTCAGTCTCATGTCCGTCCCTCACTGCGCTAGTTGCTAGGCCCCCTGGGCGATATCCAACCCACCTTCCTCCCCCTTCCCGGCTCTGCTGTTCGCTAAGGCGGCTGAGGCTCCATGTCATCCCAGTTCGTGACGATGCCGTGCTCGATGGGGTATTTCAGGGTTAGGATACCCCGCTTGGACTGGGCCTCATCGCCAATGTAGGAATCCTGACAAACTCACGCAAGATCTGCACCTCTACACTGCTAGCACGGCTCCCCATGTTCTCTACGCCGTGAGGATGTTCGTGGCTTTGGGGGGTTTCTGGAGGCTGTTGAAGATTGCGCTTCGCCACGCAAGCCCCTAAATGTTTGGCTATACGTCTTCCGTCCTTCTGGTCCGTGCCCACCATGATGCCCGGCATCTTGGGGCGGCCAACGATGGAGGGGAAGACGGCGCGCGGGGCGTCGTCCCCGGCGAATCCTGCCTTGCACATGCCGCTGCCGTTGTCCACCACCAGCGCGGCCACCTCCACGTCGCCCATGGCTTGCAGGAAAGGAGTCGGCGGAGGAGAGCTTCGGAGGTTCGCCACCAGAGCTGTGCAAGCTGCCCCGGCACGGCGCAAAACGCAGAGTTTCTGCAGGCAGACCCTTAAACCCTAAACCCTAAACCCTAAACCCTAAACCCTAAACCCTAAACCCTAAACCCTAAACCCTGCCCACCCCTTGCTTCATGACTCAGTTCAACTGGCATGCCGAGTGGCCCACTCTGCACCCTAAACCCTGAACCTTAACCCCCAACCCTAAACCCTAAACCCTAAACCCTAAACCCTAAACCCTACTAACAAGGCCCAAGCCGTCCCCCCCGGGTGATGGTCTCCTGCAAGAGCCACCTGTCCGACTGCGTCCTGGCCTGCACCCGCTGCAGCATGACCTCGGAACCGCAGCTAAAGTTTAGGGTTTAGGGTTTAGGGTTTAGGGTTTAGGGTTTAGGGTTTAGGGTTTAGGGTTTAGGGTTTAGGGTTTAGGGTTTAGGGTTTAGGGTTTAGGGTTTAGGGTTTAGGGTTTAGGGTTTAGGGTTTAGGGTTTAGGGTTTAGGGTTTAGGGTTTAGGGTTTAGGGTTTAGGGTTTAGGGTTTAGGGTTTAGGGTTTAGGTTTAGGGCTTAGGATGTAGGCTTAGGGTGCAGGCGTAGGGCTCAGAACTCAGGGGTCAGGGCTTAGGTTTTCATAGGTTTAACGTGTATGCCCGCACCAAGACCGACTAAGACAAACCAGAGCCAGCCAAAGCAAATCTAGCCAAATCCAGCACTCTGAGCATAACATCGCAAATCAAGGTTCAAAGCAAGATCATGAACCCTAAACCCCTAAACCCTAAACCCTAAACCCTAAACCCTAAACCCTAGACCCTAGACCCTAAACAATAAACCCTAAACCCTAAATTAAAGGGTTTAGGGCCAGTCTGGGGCTCAAGGCTGGATTGCTTCCAAGCTCTCAACTCTCAACGCGGACTTGGGCCCGTGGCATCTACGGCCACGCGGTAGACGGCCGTCAGCGTCGTCTCTTCCTCCTTTGCCTCGCGTGGGCCACGCTTGCCAGAAGTACGCGTATTGCAGAATTGAGAGCTAGTGCACTCCAAACCCTGAAACAACCTAAACCCTACACCCTAAACCCTAAACCCTTAACCCTCAACCCTAAACCCTACACCCTAACGGTGAAGGGTTAGGGCGGTTTGGGCCAGCGGCATGCAAGGTCGAAACTAGCAGACCGCAGCACAGCCTGATTACATCCCAGATCCCAAGACCCACCCTACTTCATCTCGATAAGACTCACTGTTGGTTAGCAGGGAATGAGGGAATTAGGGCCCTATATATAAATATATATATATATATACCCTTTAAGGGATTCTATAGGGGTACCTCCTTCCCCCATTCCCTGCCGACCAACTTTCAACAGAAAGAAAAGGAGGCCCCGTTGCGCGGTTGATCCGACCAGCCTTTGCCTGCCGCGTAGAAGAAAACGTCTCTTGTAGGAAAAAAGGTGTAATGTGTACCAGAATAATCATACTACCAACACTCTGAATAAGAAGAAAAAATCAGAACAAGAACAAGAAAGATAATGAGAAGGAACATAAGAACAAGGAAACCAAGAACAAAAGCAATGGCAACAGCAAATTAAAGCATATAGTAAACATAGCGGTTCTTAGTATATATACTTATCGGATTGTCGGATTGTATGGTCCCCACTCAGAACCCGTAAGATACACATACTCCCTGCCGAAAATCACCCTAAACCGCTTCAAGAGCGCTTCAACTGCAGCCCGCCCACCCCCCTCACCCTCCAAGGAGCCCCGAGCATCCCAACCACCCTTCAACAGAGGTTTCGGGTTTGGGGTTTAGCGCTTCGGCAACCTAACAACCACCTCTGTTAACTCCTGCTAACCCCACTCGGCGGAAAGTCGGCAGCAACAACTCAGAGCACAGACATCTTGAGCCCAAGGGATGTTTAGGGTTTAGGGTTTAGGGTTAGGGTTTAGGGTTTAGGGTTTAGGACTTAGGGTTTAGGGGTTTAGGGGTTTAGGGGTTTAGGGGTTTAGGGTTTAGGGTTTAGGGTTTAGGGGTTAGGGGTTTAGGGGTTTAGGGGTTTAGGGTTTAGGGTTTAGGGTTTAGGGTTTAGGGTTTAGGGTTTAGGGTTTAGGGTTTAGGGTTTAGGGTTTAGGGTTTAGGGTTTAGGGTTTAGGGTTTAGGGTTTATGAGCACACCTGAGCCTCAAAACCCCTGAAGCGCCTCCCCGGCTTCGCGGTCTTTAGGGGTTGGAGCGCTCCAGGGCTTTGAAGGAGAGTGGCTAAAGCCCCTAAACCCTAAAGATGAAACCCTAAACCCTACACCCTACACCCTACACCCTAAACCCTAAACCCTAAAGCCTAAACCCTAAACCCTAAACCCTAAACCCTAAACCCTAAACCCTAAACCCTAAACCCTAAACCCTAACCCGAAGGAGTGCGGGGCTTGGGTTACGGAGGAGCGCCTCGCGGTCCAGCTCCTCACCTTCGGTCTCCTTCTTCTCGGCATCTGGGCCGTGGCGGAGCCGTCAGGGTTTAGGGTTTAGGGTTTAGTGTTTAGGGTTTAGTGTTGTTTAGGGTTCAGGGGTTTTAGGGTTTTAGGGTGTTAGGGTTTAGGGTTTTTCAGGGTTTTAGGGTTTTTGGGTTTTAGGGTTTTAGGATCTTGGTTTTTAGGGTTTTAGGGTTTCGGGTTTAGGGTTTTAGGGGGCTAGCCGTCACCCAGAACCCTAAAGACCAAACCCTTTGGGGTTTGGGGGCTTTGAGTGTTGGGGGATCTAGGACTCTACAGCTTTTTTTGAATAATTTTTCAAGTGTAGTTGCGCAAATGGATTGGCGGGGTTGGCGGCGACTTGGGCCCTGAAACCGATACACCCCGTCTTCGGCTGAACTACAGTAAACTCCAGAAAGTCGGAACATGGGTTTAGGATGATTAGCACTGGGCTTCCCTATATTTGCTCTTAAGGGTATCAGGATATTGACTTTCTGGAGTTTCCTATACCTTGTTCCCCTAGCAGCTGAAATCCTCTTTCTCATCTGCTCAAAACCTGATAAGCCCTTAACTCAGGAGGCCAGCCAAAGCTTGCCCTAAACCCTAAACCCTGAACCCTAAACCCTAAACCCTAAACCCCAAACCCTAAACCCTAAACCCCTGCTTTCAGGGGACCAAGATGGCCCCTAGTTGCAACCCTCTGAAACTTGTGCCTGGTGAATATGATCCTCCGAATCCCTAAATCCGAAACCCGCAAAGATCCCAATGGCCTACCTAGGAAAACATTCATTTGCAGGGGCCCGACCCGCACCTCTCCAAACTCCCCTGTTTCGGACTCCAAGCCCCTTTCCGGCATTTGTTGGGCTTCGGGTTTTAGAAGGCCTCCGGCTTCAGAAGCTTCCAACCCCAAACCCCAGTTCCTAACCCGAGCCCTAGAGAGGCCCCCGGCATTTCTTGGCCATTGTCTGGAGGTAGCACAGCAGCATGCTGAGCATCATCGGGTTGCCGAAGACGTCCTCTCGTCATAAACCCTAGAGCCTAGCCATGCTTGGGAGCGTGGCATCTTGCACTGAATCACACACGCGCCGGAACGTGCGTTGCGGCGCGGAGCAAGCCTACATCCCCACATATGTATGTATGTATGTATGTATGTATGTATGTATGTATGTATGTATGGATGCATGGATGCATGGATGCATGGATGCATGCATGCATGCATGCATGTATGTATATACACGCACACCTACATCTGTATGCACACACACACACACATCTATATATATATATATATATATATGTGTGCATATATATACACAGATAGATGGATGGTACAAAAACTTATGTATACACATATATATATATATACACATATACATCTTTTTTCCTAGAAATACTCCGCGTTCACTACAGCTCTGCTCCAAAAACGAACGAGGGGTCTGTTTCTTTGGGCATGATGGCCCTTTTGGGGGATATTCTGGCCCTGTTCTGGATTGTTCTAGCCCTTCTAAAGAGGGTAGGTAATGTGGCCTATGTCTAAACCCTAAACCCGAAACCCTATGGTTCCGGGGGCCACCAGACAGGGCCCTGCAAGTTCGCTCGGGCATGTCTCAGCGCCTCGCTTGGGGCCTTATATGGAGGCTTACGATACCAGGGGGTACCTTATTGGCGCCCTTATTATAACGGGATCCTACCATTTGGGGGTCTGTATTCGGGGGTCCCTTCATATCGCCAACACCATGGGATGTTCCCCCCTTACTAACAGTCCTTAATAGGGGTTATAGTACCTCCTATTATAATCCCTAGAAAGGACTGATGGTATAAGGGGGACCCAACACAAGGCTCTAAACTCTGGAACGGGGGAATGCAAAAAAAGGAATTCGACCAGAATCTGAAGATGCAGTGTTTTAAAGGCTCATAGGCAACGATATTCAACATCGCAATAACAGGCCGACAACGGCCTGACAACCAAAAACAACATTCAACCCTGGCGAACCCTGAACCCTATTGTTTAGGGCTTAGGGTTTAGTGCCTTGTTTAGGGTTTAGGATTTAGGCTTTAGGGCTCAGGGTTCAGGGTTTAGGGTTTAGGGTTTTGGGTTTAGGGTTTGGGGTTTAGGGTTTAGGGTTTAGGGTTTAGGGTTTAGGGTTTAGGGTTTAGGGTTTAGGGTTTAGGGTTTAGGGTTTAGGGTTTAGGGTTTAGGGTTTAGGGTTTAGGGTTTAGGGTTTAGGGTTTAGGGCCTAGTTTAGGGTTTAGGGTTCACCTAAACCCCCTGAGCCCCAAATGTGGCTCGCTCCTCAGCCCCATCGTTCGCCGCCTCCTCCCCCTGCGTCCAACACGAGAAGGTTTCTTTTGAGGGTTTAGGGTTTAGGGCTTAGGGTTTAGGGTTTAGGGTTTAGGGTGTTCTTCTTTTTTTAGGAGGTGAGGGGGAGGGGAGAGGGGGTTTAAGGGTTTAGGGTTGAGGATTTTAAGGTGTTTGGGTTGGGGGCGGGGGTATTCAGTGCTGATTTTGCAGGTTGAGCATCCACAAAGGACACCCCATATGTGCAGACTCCATGCCTCCTCAACATAGGCGTTGAGGCCATTTTGGGCATAGGTTTCCGTGCTCGTGGGTCCAGAGTTGCTGGGCTTGTGGGATCGTCCGGCCCACTTCTATAACCCCAAACCGAGAACTGCAAACCCGAAGACCCTAAACCCCAAACCCCAAACCCTAAACCCTCAACCCTAAACCCTAAACCCTAAACCCTAAACCAGCTTTCGAAGGTGCGCCTGATCCGAGACGTTCTGGGAGCTCCGGAGCCTGGCTTCGGGTTTAGGGTCCATGCTGGAAGCTCTCTGAGGATTCCTGGGCTGAAGCGGCCATGTACAGCCTCGAAAAGGAAAATAGTTTGTTGACAAAGGTTCTAGGGAGACAGGTAGGAAGAGGAATACGATGCGAAAGAGTAAAGTCGCTTCCTGATGTTGCGGACAGGTGGGTATGTCTGCGGGTCTACGTCGCTTGACAAGCTGCGTGGCGAGTGAATGCCTTGAGAAACCCAACAGCAGCCAGCATCCAAGAACCTCTAAACCCTAAACCCTAAACCCTAAATCCTAAACCAGCGCCACCTCGCCAAGAGCTTGTCGTAGGCTTCAATGCCTTCGGCCCCCAAGCGGGCATAGGCCACCTCGGCGAGAAGGTTTAGCGATTAGGGTTTAGGGTTTAGGGTGCAAGGGCTAGAAGGTTTGGGCGGTTTGGGGGTTGAGGCTTAAAAGGGTCTAGGGTTTTACCTGGCTTCGGGTTTCCGAGATTTCGGGGTGCTCTTCCGGGGTTCCTACAACAAGGATACTAGAGTTCCTAAACCCTAGACCCCACACAAGGAAAAAGGCCTTGCACCCCAAAACCCTTGTTCTAAAGGGTCGGCGCATTGGGACGGCGAGATCTTGTTGAGGCTTACGAGAAAACCTGAAACCCTAGACCAACACATCAGACACTCAAGCTGCAATCACATGCTGCATGGCGTAGGGACATGGGGTCCTGCAGACTGGAGATAGATTGGGGACTGAGACGATGGATTGTGCCCCCAAACCTCTTAACCAATTATAACTGTACTTATAATAACTGTACTTATGGCCATATTAGGGCACTTAAGGGGCTTATAAGTGGGTTATAAGTACACTGAAAATTGGATAATAAGTACCCATGAAACCCAAGCAAGGACCGACCCCAGCTGGCAAGGAGAGCCGCAAACAGCTCGGCTCCCGCGCCATGCGCTTCTGCTCATCCGAGAGGTTCTCCAAGCGCATGGTCATGATTAGCTCGGGATCCGACTGGCAGAGAAGGCGCTCGAAACCTTGAACCCTACACCCTAAACCCCAAGAACGGACCCTTCTGATTTTTTGTGAAACCCTAAACCCTAAACCCTAAACCCTAAACCCTAAACCCCAAACCCTAAACCCTAAACCCTAAACCCTAAACAAACGGACCCCTCTTATTTTGTGAATGCGGTTGGGGGCCCCATGCATCTTCAACTTCAGCTCGAACCGAAGAAGGCTTCTGAAATGGGACATTGGACTCTCAGAAGGGTCTAAGGGTTTTAGGGTTTACTGTAGGGTTTAGGCTTTAGGGTTTAGGGTTTAGGGGGCTTAGAGTTTAGGGTTACGGCCACTGCACAGGATCGCGGGTAGGGGCGCGGACGGCGGGTTTCGGATGGGTTTCGGTTGCCTAAACAGAAAGACCCTAAGGATGGGTTCAGGGTTTAGGTATAGGGTTTAAGTCTTACGGCTTGGGGTTTAGGGTTTTCAATAAGAAGTCGAAAGGGTGTGGTTGTATTCTATTGACATTCGGAAGTTGTGTTTATGGGCTCTAGGCTATCGTCAGCCCTGAACTCAGCCCTGAACCCAACCCCTAAACCCTAAACCCCAAGTCCTGAACCCTAAACCCGAAACTCTGAACCCTCAACCCTAAACCCTGAACCCTAAACCCTAAACCATGAACCCTAAACCCTGAACCCTAAACCCTAAACCCTAAACCCTAAACCCTAAACCCTGAACCCTTACCCTGAACCTTTGGGTTCCGAAGCCTCCAGGGCAGATCTGCCACTCAGCAAAGGCCGCGAGGTCACCACCTTCGCTGGCATCGGCGAACACTCGAAACACCGAGGCCCTTTGCCCAATCTCCCTGAGCCCTAAACCCCGAACCCTGAACCCTGAACCCTAAAACCTGAACCCCGAACCCTAAACCCTGAACCCTATTCCTTAAACCCCGAACCCTAAACCTTAAACCCTAAACCCTAAACCCTAAACCCGAAACCCTAAACCCTAAACCCTGACCGGTGCTGGGTCCGAGTTGCCACCAGGTTCTTCGACCGCACGAGCACGCGGATCAGGCTTTCTACGGCCTGGAGGAGGATTCGCAGTTGACGGCTTCTGTGTTCAGGAATTAGGGTCTGGAGTTGAGGTGCGCAACGCCCCTTCCAAGCACAACGGCCTAAAGCCCTCAATACGTAAACCAACCCCAAACACTAAGCCCGAAACCCTAAACCCTAAACACTAAACCCTAAACACTAAACCCTAAACCCTAAACCCTAAACCTTTTCTGCTCTCAGCTCTCTCCGAAGCCACCTTGGTGAGTCGCTCCGCATCCTCCAGGCCCTCGAAGAGGAAGACGACGCGGGACATGCTGATGGCCTGCAGGGCTTAGGGCTTAGGGCTTGGGGGCTTGGGGCTTGGGGCTTGGGGGCTTGGGGCTTGGGGCTTGGGGCTTGGGGTTTGGGGTTTGGGGTTTGGGGTTTAGGGTTTGGGTGGTTTAGGGGGTTTGGGGGTTTGGGGGGTTTGGGGTTTGTGGTTTAGGGTTTTGGGTTTAGGGTTTAGGGGAAGGTCCCAGGCGATTTGGGGGGACGGGGGGAGGGGGGGTGGGTTCCCAAGAGAAGCTGAGGGCATCAGGTCTAGAGTCAGGGGGGTTGGTCCAAAATAGTAAGGATACCTCGGCTTCCAGCGGAAAGGCATCTAGAACTTTACGGGTTTAGGGTTTAGGGTTTAGGCCTTCCCCCCGACCAGAACTTTGCGTCATAGGTCCTAGGGCCTTTAGGGTGCTGGGATGCTGGGGGGTTTAGGGTTTAGGGTTTAGGGTTTAGGGCTTAGGGTACAGGGTTTAGGGTTTAGGGTTTAGGGTTTAGGGTTTAGGGTTTAGGGTTTTGGGTTTTGGGTTTAGGGTTTAGGGTTGAGCCTTCCGACCACACGTAAAGCCGCACAAAACGCTTGGTTTGGGACATGTCAAACGCTTGGTTTGGGACATGTCGAGCCGCTGAAAGCGCTTGGTTCGGACATGTACAGCCGCTCAAAGCACTTGGTTTGTGGGGGTGGGGGGTATGCGAATGGCCCTCACGATTCGGACATGTACGGCCGCTCAAAGCACTTGGTTTGTGGGGGTGGGGGGGGTATGCGAATGGCCCTCACGATGAGAACGTCCGTGGTACCAGTGCGTGCGAGTGGCCAGAGCATCCATGCCCGCACGATGAGAACGTCCGTGGTACCAGTGCGTGCGAGTGGCCAGAGCATCCATGCCCTCACGATGAGAACGTCCGTGGTAGGAGTGCGTGCGAGTGGCCAGAGCATCCATGCCCGCACGATGAGAACGTCCGTGGTACCAGTGCGAGTGGCCAGAGCATCCATGCCTTCACGATGAGAACGTCCGTGGTAGGAGTGCGTGCGAGTGGCCAGAGCATCCATGCCCGCACGATGAGAACGTCCGTGGTACCAGTGCGTGCGAGTGGCCAGAGCATCCATGCCCTCACGATGAGAACGTCCGTGGTACCAGTGCGTGCGGGTGCCAGAGCATCCATGCCCGCACGATGAGAACGTCCGTGGTACCAGTGCGTGCGAGTGGCCAGAGCATCCATGCCCGCAGGATGAGAACGTCCGTGGTACCAGTGCGTGCGAGTGGCCAGAGCATCCATGCCCGCAGGATGAGAACGTCCGTGGTACCAGTGCGTGCGAGTGGCCAGCATCCATGCCAGCAGGATGAGAACGTCCGTGGTACCAGTGCGAATGGCCAGAGCATCCATGCCCGCAGGATGAGAACGTCCGTGGTACCAGTGCGTGCGAGTGGCCAGAGCATCCATGCCCGCAGGATGAGAACGTCCGTGTTACCAGTGCGTGCGAATGGCCAGAGCATCCATGCCCGCAGGATGAGAACGTCTGTGGTACCAGTGCGTGCGAGTGGCCAGAGCATCCATGCCCGCACGATGAGAACGTCCGTGTTACCAGTGCGTGCGAATGGCCAGAGCATCCATGCCCGCAGGATGAGAACGTCCGTGGTACCAGTGCGTGCGAATGGCCAGAGCATCCATGCCCGCACGATGAGAACGTCCGTGTTACCAGTGCGTGCGAATGGCCAGGGCATACCAAGCGTGGAACGTTGATCGTTTGGGTGTGGACCCTTATGATCAACTCACGGAAGATCGGCCTTGGGAGTTGCTGGAACTTTAGATCCCTCGAACCCTCAAAGAGTCGCTGAATTTATAGTGCCCAAAAACGCTGCTTCTAGCTCTTCCCCACTGCATGCATCCCAGACTGCCACTTATCATCCCGTACTACCCTGCGTGGGACGCTCAGCACTTCCTGCCGACAACTCCTGTCTTGTCTCTACCTTCCACCGCTTCCCGCAACTTAAAATTCCAAGATTTTTAAGTTGCGCAATGGTTGCCGCTCAGCCGCTTGCCAAGCTCCAAAAGCGTGGCAGGCGCGATAGAAACAGCGCTGGCACTCCGCAGAAAAGCTTCTGGGCGCGGCTTAACGCGCGGTCGGAGCGGGGTTGAGGGGCCCCAACCCAAACCCCCCCCCCACCACACGGGCTTACACTTCAACGAGCACTCGCGGGGAACTGCGAACTCAAAGCGGCTCCTGCAGGCCCTACCCTGAATCCAAAACTCTCGCCTCGTCAATGTTCAAGGGTTTTGGGGTTTGGGGGTTTAGGGTTTGGGGTTTAGGGTTTAGGGTTTGTTCAGTCTGGGGTTGCGGCTTCAGGGGATGTTGGGTGTAACGATCACGTCATAACTCCCGGTCAGGCCTGGCCGATCATGCTGTATCGCAGGCTGTCCTGGCAAAGAGCTAACTTTGCGAGATTTTGGGAATATGAAGTAGGGTATCTATTTCTTGTACCCCCCAAAAGGACACCAGGTATATACACTCACCAAAATGAAAAAGGAACCTTATATACACTCACCAAAAACAGTAATATAAACCCTGCTTCATATAGCCCTGGGCCCGAAAAGCCCCAAAAATCCTGGAAACCCGGTAAAGCCTATTAACCCTGCTGACCCTATTAATCCTGCGGACATTGTAAACCCTAACTAAAGCCTATTAACCCCATCAACCCTATTCACGTTGCAAACCCTGTAAACCCTAAACCCTAAACCCCAAACACCCTGTAAGCCCCAAATCCTAAACCCTAAACAAGTTTAGGGTTTAGGGTTGCTTAGAGTTGTGCTTTCTGGTGCTTCGCCCGTGTCGTTGCCGAAATCGTTGCCCAAGCACTCATGCCCTCTCCATCGGGCTCAGGGAACTTCTTGAAATTTATAATTTCGGGTTTATCTGGTTTAGGGCTGAGGTGTTTAAGCTCTGAACCCCAAACCCTCAACCCTGACTCCGGAACAACTTCAACTGAAAGTTGCTGAACTTCGCCCAGAACGGTAAGTCCACTCCCTGCCCAGGGCCGCCTCCCCGTACGTGAGGCGCAGGTAGTTGTCGAACCAGTCCTCAGGAACTGTCGGGCTTCTTGGGCGTCAGGCGCCGAACACAAAGGGGAAAAGGCCACAAGGGCCCTTCATTCTAGCTACTTTTTAGGGTCTTTTGGGCATACAATCATCATATACACGCGGCTACAGAGTTATGAACTTGGCGCGTGGATCCTTGTTCGTTCTCCGCTCTGCATTCACTTCGATGCGCTCATAATGTAACTAGCACCATGTGGAGCGATATGATCACTTCTTGCCTGCTGAATACAGTCAATAGTGGGTTTAGGGTTTAGGGTTTAGGGCTCAGGGTTTAGGGTTTAGGGTTTAGTGTTTAGGGTAGCAAAAGTAAACTAGTGTTATTATAATACAACCAAAGACCCGATAAATTTTGACCGCCGCTTGGACCTTCGACGGCCACAAAGTGTCTTGCTTAAGCTTGAATTCCATAGCGGTCTTCAACGAATTGATCTGAACTTCCCTCGATCCCCTAATTGCCTGGGCCTAGGAACAATATACAGAAGTTTAGGGTTTAGGGCTTAGGGCTTAGGGTTTGGGGTTTGGGGTTTGGGGTTTCGGGTTTAGGGTCCTCCGGGATTGAGGCAAAACACCGCGTCAAATCCTGCTGGAATCCAGGCTGGCGGTGCGTGATCTGAGCCTTCGCTTAGGGTCCCCCTAAACCCTAAACCCTAAACCCTAAACCCTAAACCCTAAACCCTAAACCCTAAACCCTAAACCCTAAACCCTAAACCCTAAACCCTAAACCCTAAACCCTAAACCCAAAACAAAGCTGCAGGTGCTCCCGACGTATAGAGCAGGACCCACACATGGCAGGGAGGCGGGAGCCTTCAACCCCACTCACATCCCCGCCTGAACCTTCAAACTCCACCGGCTTCAGGTTTAGGGTTTAATAAGCTTCAGGTTTAGGGTTTAGGGTTTAGGGTTTAGGGTTTAGGGTTTAGGGTTTAGGGTATAGGGTTTGGGATTTAGGGTTTAGGGTCCTCCCCCCTAAGCCCTACACTCCAAAACCCCGCAGCCCAAGTCCAGCAAACCCAAAATCGTCGGACACCGGGACCCCACCTGCACGGCGTCGGCATCGAAGGCATCCGGACCTTTCCACGGGCTCTTGGAGGTTGTGGGGTCTCTTCAGGACTGAGGGCCCTGCATGTGCAGGTTTTTGTTGCCTCAACCCCTGCCCCCCTCCCTCCCCCCCCCCCCCTCCCCCCGCTAACCCCCCTCAACGCTATGCCAAGGAAGAGGTAATAGGTGGAAGGGCCCATAAGACCCAAGGTTTAGGTTGAGGCAGGGTTTTCGGGGTGTCGGGCTTAGGGTTTAGGATTCCCCCCTCTCCCTTGCCCATTTCCCGCGAACCCGCGAAGCCTTCAGGGTCGGATCGCTTGACCAAGTCGGCCACAGGAAGCATCAACGGGATCAAGTTCTCATACCTGCGCGTTTATGGTTTAGGGTTTGGCGTTTAGGGTTTAGGGTTTAGGGTTTAGGGTTTGGCGTTTAGGGTTTGGGGGTTGGGGTTTGTGGCTTGGGTTTGGGGTATGGTGTTTGGGGTTTCACCCTCAAGTCCCTGATGAGGCTAAAAACTCAGCCAGCGAACCCTACAAATACCACGCTATGGCTAGAGGCGTTTTACCTCTCAAAGCCCTGCGGACCTTACATGGTGAGTTCTCGTTCCGGTGCTTCGTGGCTGTGTGGATCTCAGAATTAAGCTACTTGCACCAGAGTGGGCCGCTCAGGGCCCAAAACAAAGTTGAGTGGCCCCTTCTCTTGTAGGTTTGGCCACTCCCGTGAGTCTATCTTAGAATCACCTCTCAAGGGCTTAGGGTATAGGTCTCTTGGCTTTTGAACCTGTGGGCCATAGGCGGAGTTAGGGTGTACGGCTTTGATGCCGCTGCCCGGAACCGCAGCCAGTGCAGGGAGCACCTGTCGAGCATCTCCATCATCAAGCGCCCCACGAAGCAGGACCTGAACGTGTCATGGCTCAGGGGAGGGTTCAGGGTTTGCAGTGAAGGGGTCAGAGTTAGAAGTTTAGTTAACTTTTGTGCTCAGCCGAGTGTAGCCGTCCGGCCTTTGAGGTTCAGGTCTTTGCATCTCCCCCCCCCCCGCCCAAAGTACAGGCTCAGGCAAACTCAGTCATGAGTTGACGATCATAGCTCTAGACTCTAAATCCCACAGCCCTCAACCTCCAAACCTACCAAGGCCCCCCATTGAAGCCCCTTACCCCAAACCCTAAACCCCAAACCCTAAACCCTAAACCCTACCCTAAACCCTAAACCCTAAACCCTAAACCCTAAACCCTAAACCCTAAACCCTAAACCCTAAACCCTAAACCCTAAACCCCGAGGCGCCGCGCTTCCCACTTCCGGGGGAGCCCAGCACCAGGAAGGCGCTTGGGCTGCAGCTCGGCTGGCCCTGAAGGTAGCCGAAGTTGGGGCTTCAGGGTTTAGGGTTTAGGGCTTGGGGTTTAGGGTTTAGGGCTTAGGGTTTAGGGTTTAGGGCTTCGGGCAGTTTAGGGTTTAGGGTTTAGGGTTTAGGGTTTAGGGTTTAAAGTTTTAGGGTTAAGGTTTTAGGGTTTAGGGTTTAGGGGAGTTTTAGGGTTGGGGGACGGGGCCTTGCCGCGCGACCACCCTGTTGACTGGGCATTAGAGGCCTGCGGTGTGAGCAGGGCAAAACCCTGGTGCGTCTTCTCGTGTGCCTCTTGCCATTGGGTTTAGGTTTTAGGGTTTAGGGTTTAGGGTTTGGGAACAAAAACCCAAAAGCCCCCCCCCCCCCAAACACACCAGGACCCGAAACCCTGCGGCGATACTTGGTCTTCAGAGCCTGAGGCGAGGGTCGGGTTTTAAGCATTCCGAGCAGCTACCTCATTCCCTCATTTTTCTACTAACCAACAGAAGGGATTCTCCTCGAGTACCGGCCAGTGCTTATCTCTGCAGCTGCTAGAGCTTGGCGACTCTTCTGGCCTCTTGGGACCTTGCATTGCAGGGTTCGTAGGTCTAGGGTTTAGGGTTGGGTTTAGGGTTTAGGGTTTAGGGTTTAGGGTTTAGGGTTAGGGTCCAGGGTCTAGGGTTTATAGGGTTTAGGGTTTAGGCTTATTTCAGTTGTTGGGGCTTCAAGCAACCAAGGCTGCAGCAAGGTTGTAGTTTTCCACGGCGTTCAGAACCGTCGTCCACCCGGTCTTCACCTGGTGCGAGGAGCCTAATCAAAGCGGGGAGGGGGTTGTTCTGGGAACCCTCTGTTAAGCTGGGCTTTGGGCTTTAGTGGCCAATTGCATTGCGGTTTTCCCAGAAACTGGTGACTTGTCATAAACCCCAAGCCCTAACCCTAGGACCCTACCCTAAACCCTAAACCCTGAACCCTAACCCAAACCCTAACCCTAGGACCCTATCACCCGTTATGACCACCCCACGCGCTGAAGAACAAACCATCGGGGTTCAGGCCACTTGCTCCGGCCCTTCGGCCATGAGAGGGTTCAGAGTTTAGGGGTTTAGGGGGGTTTAGGGATTTTTAGGGGGGGGGTTTAGGGGTTTAGGGGTTTAGGGGTTTAGGGGTTTAGGGGTTAGGGGTTTAGGGGTTTAGGGGTTTAGGTTTAGGGTTTAGGGTTTAGGGGTTTAGGGGTTAGGGGTTTAGGGGTTTAGGGGTTTAGGGGGTTTAGGGTTTAGGGGTTTAGGGGTTAGGGGTTTAGGGGGGGGGGGGGGGGGTCAGGGGTTTAGGGGTTCAGGGGTTTAGGGGTTTAGGGGCTAGGGGTTAGGGTCAGGGTTTAAGGCTCCACTTCAGCTGCTTAAACTTTATCAAGAACCCAGGCGAGCCTTTGATCTTGGAGCCCGGAAACATCTACAACGCCGAAACCCTGGATCCGCGAGCACCATTGAACCCGGCAACCCTAGATCCTCGACCGGCCTAAGCCCGAAACCCTAAACCCGAAGCCTTAAACCCTAAACCCTGAACCCTAAATCCCAAACATGAAATCCTAGAACCGCACCCCGGCCTCCGCCGCCAAGAGCTCACCTGGGTTTGGGGCTTTCCACAGATGGAGGATCTTGGGGTTTTGTGGGTTTAGGGCTTATAGGTTTAGGGTCTAGGGTTTAAGGCTTCGGGTTGAGGGCTTAGGGTTTAATGGGTTTAGTGGGTTTTGTGGGTCTAGTAGGTTTCATGGGTTTGGGTTTAGTGGGTTTAGTGAGTGTGGTTGGTGGGCTTAGGTTTGGGGGTTTAGGGTTTAGGGTTTAGGCCGTAGGCGCGAAACGGCTTGGGGTTGAGGGCTTGGGATTGATGGTTTTGAGTACGAAGTTTGGGCCGAACATCCAAAGCCTTAGGGTCAGGACTTCTGGATTCACCGGGCGAGCATCATGGGCATCAGCTGTCCACCCAAACGCGGGAAGACCAGCCCAAGGCGAGCATCATGGGCATCAGCTGTCAGCCCAAACGCGTGTAGACCAGCCAAAGGCGAGCATCATGGGCATCAGCTGTCCACCCAAACGCGGGAAGACCAGCCAAAGGCGAGCATCATGGGCATCAGCTGCCCACCCAAACGCGGGAAGACCAGCCCAAGGCGAGCATCATGGGCATCAGCTGTCGGCCCAAACGCGTGAAGACCAGCCAAAGGCGAGCATCATGGGCATCAGCTGTCCACCCAAACGCGGGAAGACCAGCCAAAGGCGAGCATCATGACCATCAGCTGTCCACCCAAACGCGGGAAGACCAGCCCAAGGCGAGCATCATGGGCATCAGCTGTCAGCCCAAACGCGTGTAGACCAGCCAAAGGCGAGCATCATGGGCATCAGCTGTCCACCCAAACGCGGGAAGACCAGCCAAAGGTGAGCATCATGGGCATCAGCTGTCCACCCGGCGAGCATCATGGGCATCAGCTGTCGGCCCAAACGCGTGAAGACCAGCCAAGGGCGAGCATCATGGGCATCAGCTGTCCACCCAAACGCGGGAAGACCAGCCCAAGGCGAGCATCATGGGCATCAGCTGTCGGCCCAAACGCGTGAAGACCAGCCAAAGGCGAGCATCATGGGCATCAGCTGTCCACCCAAACGCGGGAAGACCAGCCCAAGGCGAGAATCATGGGCATCAGCTGTCGGCCCAAACGCGTGAAGACCAGCCAAAGGCGAGCATCATGGGCATCAGCTGTCCACCCAAACGCGGGAAGACCAGCCCAAGGCGAGCATCATGACCATCAGCTGTCCACCCAAACGCGGGAAGACCAGCCCAAGGCGAGCATCATGGGCATCAGCTGTCCACCCAAACGCGGGAAGACCAGCCCAAGGCGAGCATCATGGGCATCAGCTGTCGGCCCAAACGCGTGAAGACCAGCCAAAGGCGAGCATCATGGGCATCAGCTGCCCACCCAAACGCGGGAAGACCAGCCCAAGGCGAGCATCATGGGCATCAGCTGTCGGCCCAAACGCGTGAAGACCAGCCAAAGGCGAGCATCATGGGCATCAGCTGTCCACTCAAACGCGGGAAGACCAGCCCAAGGCGAGCATCATGGGCATCAGCTGTCGGCCCAAACGCGCGAAGACCAGCCAAAGGCGAGCATCATGGGCATCAGCTGTCCACCCAAACGCGGGAAGACCAGCCCAAGGCGAGCATCATGGGCATCAGCTGTCGGCCCAAACGCGTGAAGACCAGCCACAGGCGAGCATCATGGGTATCAGCTGTCCACCCAAACGCGTGTAGACCAGCCAAAGGCGAGCATCATGGGCATCAGCTGTCCACCCAAACGCGGGAAGACCAGCCAAAGGCGAGCATCATGGGCATCAGCTGTCCACCCAAACGCGGGAAGACCAGCCCAAGGCGAGCATCATGGGGCATCAGCTGTCGGCCCAAACGCGGGAAGACCAAAGGCGAGCATCATGGGCATCAGCTGTCCACCCAAACGCGGGAAGACCAGCCCAAGGCGAGCATCATGGGCATCAGCTGTCCACCCAAACGTGGGAAGACCAGCCCAAGGCGAGCATCATGGGCATCAGCTGTTGGCCCAAACGCGTCAAGACCAGCCAAAGGCGAGCATCATGGGCATCAGCTGTCCACCCAAACGCGGGAAGACCAGCCCAAGGCGAGCATCATGGGCATCAGCTGTCGGCCCAAACGAGAAAAGACCAGCCAAAGGCGAGCATCATGGGCATCAGCTGTCCACCCAAACGCGTGAAGACCAGCCCAAGGCGAGCATCATGGGCATCAGCTGTCGGCCCAAACGCGCGAAGACCAGCCAAAGGCGAGCATCATGGGCATCAGCTGTCGGCCCAAACGCGGGAAGACCAGCCCAAGGCGAGCATCATGGGCATCAGCTGTCCACCCAAACGGGGGAAGACCAGCCCAAGGCGAGCATCATGGGCATCAGCTGTCCACCCAAACGCGGGCAGACCAGCCAAAGGCGAGCATCATGGGCATCAGCTGTCCACCCAAACGCGGGAAGACCAGACCAAAGGCGAGCATCATGGGCATCAGCTGTCCACCCAAACGCGGGCAGACCAGCCAAAGGCGAGCATCATGGGCATCAGCTGTCCACGCAAACGCGGGAAGACCAGACCAAAGGCGAGCATCATGGACACCAGCTCCATTCGTAATCGCAGGAGCCCAGCAGAAGGTGAGCATTGTTGGCATCAGCTGCACAAGGGGAGCATCAGCTGTGCATCTAAAGCAGGAATCCAGCAAAAGCCAGCATCAGCATCATACGAGTACGGCGAGCACCAAGAGCATCAGCTGCACATCTGCAGGGGAACCCATGCAAAGGCCGAGCATCATGAGCATCGGAACGCCACCCGAAGACAAGCACCATGAGCATCTGCTGCGCACTGACAACCGCAGATGAAGGCGAGCATCCGGAGTATCAGCTGCACAGCCGAACACAGAACGCCCAGCCAAAGGCGAGCATCATGAGCTCCAGCTGCACAGTTGAGTGCCGCAGCCACAGCACGAGTCGAGCATCATGAGCATCATCAGCGGGTAGCACGCGGAGCCCCAGCAGAAGGCGAGAGAATCACCAGAATCAGCTGCCTAAAAACTAAGGATAAAATCCCTACATTACCCTTATAAGGAAGAATATCTGCAAAAAAACTGGGCGTTCTTAAGCAAATAGCAGATATGGCAAGGCCTGAAGCCTTCATCTTGAGCGCTGCACTGGCTGTGGTGCTGCTGGTCTGCGAGACTGTGTTGGACACCACCGATGCCTGGCAATCACAACTTCTTGCTCGGGTTTGGGGTTTGGGGTTCATAGGGTTTCGGGTTTAGGGTTTAGGGTTTAGGGTTTAGGGTTTACGGTTTAGGGTTTCGGGTTTAGGGCTTCGGGCTCAGGCCCAAAACCACAGATATGGGGATGTACGATATCAGGGGTACTTTCTTGGGGTCCGTTTTGTAAGGGGTCATTTTCGTAAACCCCCATATGTATCAGAATAAGAACAAGAACAACAACAGAAACATCTCTTACTAACATCAGCAATAACAATAAACAGTCAGTAAGAATAAGAAATAACACTAAAACACTCCTACTCAAATCCCCAGAGATAAGATAAGATAATATTAATATTGACAATGATCAGAATGACGAAGAAGACTCCTACTCAGCCCGAACCCCATCTCTTACAGTAAACTCCAGAAAGTTGGAACATAGTTTAAGGATGATTAGAGCTGGGATTCCCTTTTGTATACCTCTAGGGTCATGGGGATAAGGACAATAAAACTTTGTGGAGCTTACTGGAAGCCCTGACAGTTGACAAACTCGCCCTGCGCGCGGATCGGCGCATCAGCTTCGTGATGCTCATTGAGCTGGTCATGCTGCCCTGCATGGCGCTTCGTGTTTGCGGTTTTAGGGCCCCTTTCCACCAGGGTTTAGGGTTTAGGGTTTAGGGTTTCGGATTCAGGGTTTTAGGCCTGCAGCCTCTTGGGGCGCTAGAAGTCGGGTAGGTGTTGGAGTACGGGTTTGCGAAGCCCACGGGTTTAGGGCTTGTGGGTTTATAGATTTTGGGACTTAGCGCTCGGACTTTTGCTGTTGAGCTCTTGTTCGAGTAGCTCGGCTTGCTTTGGTCATCGCTTCAGACCCTTCTGAACATGGCATTGACGCATTTCTTCCAAAGAAGCAGTCTGAACCCTAAGCCCTAAGCCCTAAGCCCTAAGCCCTAAACCCTAAACCCTAAACCAGCAAGGTTGCAACATCGAGGCCATCGCTGGGGGGAGGGCGGGACCTAAGACCCCAAAACCCTAAACCCTAAATCCTAAACCCTAAACCCTAAGCCCTAAATCCTAAACCCTAAACCCTAAACCCTAAATCCTAAACCCTAAACCCTAAAACCCCAAACCCTAAATCCTAAACCCTAAACCGTAAGGTTTGGGCTTTCTGCTGAAACACGGCCCCTGGATGCTCACCACCATGCCGAGCCCCTTCAGGGTTTAGGGCTTTCGGTTTAGGGTTTAGGGTTTAGGGTTTAGGGTTTAGGGTTTAGGGTTTAGGGTTTAGGGTTTAGGGTTTTGGGCTTTGGGTTTTGGACTTTGGGTTGAGGAATTTGGGGTTTGGGGTTTAGAGTTTAGGGTTTAGGGTTTAGGGTTTAGGGTTTAGGGTTTAGGGTTTAGGGGCTAGGGGTTTAGGGTTTAAGGTACTCCGCTCGCCTCTGTCTTGCTGGTGGCAAACGTCACCGTGCCTCACCAGTTCGTTCGGGTGTTGATGACATGGGGCCAGGGCACTGAGCCCCAACACCCTTTTCGTACCCCAAACCGTACTCCGCATGAAATCCGTCACAAACTTACTTAGCCCTAGTCCTGCTGCCCTAACACAGGGGCTACTATCATGCATTCTTCTCTAGGGACTCATGATACGGGGACGATATGTGAGATAATTTAAGGTCCCGTGCTACACTATACCGCCCATGAAGCAAGCCTAGAGGCCATTTCCCCTACACATCTTTGATCAACATCGAACCCCTACCAAGCCCTAAACCCTAAACCCTAAACCCTAAACCCTAAACCCTAAACCCTAAACCCTAAAGAGGCTGGAGCGCCCCCCCTTTGGGCTACAAAGACTTGAAGCCCTCGGAGGGCTGAGCCATAAACTGCCGGGTTCAAGGGGTGAAGGATCAAAAAAAAATTAGCATCAAAAAAAATAACCCCAAGGGATCAAAAAAAAGAAATAAGCATCAAAAAAAAATTAACCCATTTTCCTCTTGGAATACAGCGGGGGGGCGGGGGGGGGTTGGGGCGCAGTCCCCCCCCCCCCATTTGCAAACACAATGCTCGCACGATGGGTCGTAGTGGGTGGTGGTAGTGGTTGGAAAACCTTCTATTTTCTCGATCTTTTAATAGGAAAACCTCTATTTCTTCATATTCCCACAAGAAAACCTCTATTTTCTTCACGTTTTCATAGGAAACCTCTATCATCTCTATGTTTCCATCGGAAAACTTCTATTTCCATATATTTTAAGAAAAACTTAAACTTTGTAGTATCCCAATGGCTTCAACAAGATTCATAAAGCACGCTTTGCAGTGGCACAGCTTGATAAAAACGCGGGGGGGTTGGGGTTGGCGCAGCCCCCCCCCCCCACTTGGCTTTGCAGCACGCTTTGCACAGCTTAAAAAAACAGCGGGGGGTTTGGGGGGGGCGCAGCCCCCCCCATTTGCAAACAATGTTCGCACGATGCGTAGAAGTGGTGGTAGTGGTTGGAAAACCTTCTATTTTCTCGATCTTTCAATGGGAAAGCCTCTATTTCTTCATACTCCCACAAGAAAACGTCTACTGTCATCACGTTTTCATGAGAAATCCTCTATTATCTCTATGTTTCCATCGGAAAAACTCTACTTCTACATGTTTTAAGCAAAAAACTTCCATTTTCTTTGCATTCCAATGGCTTCAAAGAACAATACATAATACATACTACATAATATATAAAATATACTATATAATGAATAATAAATAATAAACTAATTAAAAATAAATAATATTATATATTTTATATATTGTAGATTATGTATACAGTATATCTTATATATTATATACTTTATATTATGCATTATATGCAGTATATAATATACAATATACAATATATGATATGCAATATATGACATATAATATACAATAGCGATATATATATATACAATATATATATATATATTCATTTATTTATTATAATTATATTTACTTATTTATATACATACATATATCATATAATATACAACAATATGAAAATATAAATATAAATGGTATATATATATATATATATATAAATATAAGTATATATATATATACATATACCCATGATGTTATAATGTATTGTATATAAATAGATGTATTGTATATATCTAATATAAAATGTATATAATATAATATTAATATATAATATGTATACAATATAATATATATATATATATATATATATATATATGCTCACCCCCCCCCCCATGATCTAGGTCGAAAGGCCTTTCGGGCCCATCGAAGCGAGATTTAAACCTAAGTCGGAATGAAAATTAAAAGGCCACTGGCCTCATTCGTAGTAAAATTTTTTTAGAAATCTAAATTTGCCAATTAAAAGCCGCACCCTATGAAATCCTCTTCTGGGGCCTACCTGTCCGTAACAAAATCTCACAAGAGCTTTATATGCAGAGGTTACAGCCTCAGAAATCCTCATCTGGGCTTCCTTCCTATTTTATTGAGAAAATGCTTCTACATAAGAAGCCCACACCCTACGAAAAGAATTCTATACTTAAAGGCCACACCCTATGAAATCCTCTTCTGGGCCCTCTTAATGAAATTTCAGTAGACTTGTGTCTGATAAAGCCACAGCTTCGTTCGTAATTAACCCAAGTAAAAAAACATATTAAGAGGCCCAGCCCCAAGACATCCTCTTCTAAGCCTCATTGATTAATACCTATTTAAAACATTTTTGTTTTTCCCACACCCTGTGAAATCTTTCGCTGGCCCCATACGTAATGAAACGCAATTTGATTTCATATTGTAAGGCCACACCCTAAGAAATCCTCTTCTGGGCTTCGTTCGTAATTGAACCCAAGTAAAGCAAGTGTATATTCAGAGGCCAACCCCAGGACATCCTCCTCGCAATGAAACCGAGTTAGAATTCTATATTGCAGACTATACCCTATGAAATCCCTTTCTGGCCCCTATTTGTAATGAAGATTAATTAGAATTCTGTATTACAAAGCCACACGCCAAGAAATCCTCATTATACCTTCGTTTGTAATTAGACTTATTTTCGATTTGCCAAGATGCTTGTATTAAAAAAAGCCACACCATTCTGGGGCCTGTTCGTAACAGAATCTCGGAAGAAGTTTATAATTCTAGGTAAGAAGCCCACACCCTAAGAAGTTCTGACCTAGGCTAGGTTCGTATGTAACTCTTGGACAGAAATTTATATCATGAGCCCCCATTCGTATTTGAATGTACTTACAATTCCATATTTAACCGCTAGACCCTATGAAATCCTCTTCTGGTGCCTATTAGTGAAATGTCAATAGACTTGTATATGATAAAGCCATAGCTTCGTTAGTAAATTAAACCCAAGTCAAACAAACAAATTAAGAGGCCCCGCCACAAGACATCCTCTTCTAAGCTTCATTGGTTAATACCTATTTGGAATTCTATTTTGCAGACCACACCCTATGAAATTCTCCCCTGGCCTCGCTTCATACTAAAATGTTATTTGAGGTTTGTATTAAAACGCCACACCCTAAGAAATCCTCATCTGGACTCGTTTGGAATTCCACTTAAATTGAATTTTAAGTTTAGAGGCCACACCCCTTTGGACAGAATTTCAAAGGCCACACCCTAAGACCTGTGTATGGTAAAGCCACAGCTTCGTTCGTAAAACCAAACCAAGTAAAACAATTAAGAGGCCACGCCCTTCTAAGCCTCATTCGTTACTACCTCTTTGGAATTTTATTTTACCGACCACACCCTGTGAAAGTCTCCTCTGGCCCCGCTTCGTAATGAAATGTAATTTGAGGTTTGCACTAAAACACCACACCCTAAGAAATCCTCAACTGGACTTCCTTTGTGATTCCACTTAAATAGACGTTTAAATTAAGAGGCCACACCCCAAGACATCCTCTTCGAAGCCCCACTCTTTTTTAAGTCCAATTAGACTTTTGAATTGCAGGTCCACATCCTCAAAAGAACCACACCCTAAGAAACCCTCTCTATTTCTTTTTTTATTACTTTTCATATTAAGACGCCACATCCCAAGACATCCTCTTCTAAGCCTCATTCGTAATTAAATCCAATGGAACTTTACATGTTAACGCCACGCCCTGCATACCGAATAGGCTGAATTGAAAAAAAGCGAATGGTGGGTGTGTTTGTGTGCTTTTCTCTGTGTGTGTGCAAGGCAGTCACATTAGCAGAAACAACGTATAACAATACACATTCTTTATACAAGAAAAGCATTTTTTGCAAAATTTGCGAGAAAAAAAAAACCCAAAAATCCAAAAATCCAAAAATCCAAAAATCCAAAAACTCAAAACCATGGAGCCGGGAGGCCGCCTTTTTTGGATTTTTTGGATTTCTCGAGGTTTTTTTGGTTTTTTTTGGAAAAATCCAAAAAAAACCATGTTTTTTTTTTGATTTTACTTGCTTCTGGCCTCAAAAACCTAAAAAACACATGTTTTTTTTTGGATTTTGAGTGAAAATCCAAAAAAACCATGTGTTTTTTTAGTTTCTGAGACCAGGAGCACCTGAAATCCAAAAAAACACGAGGGTTTTTTTGGATTTTCACTCAAAATCAAAAAAAAACCATGTGTTTTTTAGGTTTTTGAGGCCAGGAGCAAGTAAAATCCAAAAAAAAACATGGTTTTTTTGGATTTTTCCAAAAAAAACCAAAAAAAACCTCGAGAAAACCAAAAAATCCAAAAAAGGCGGCCTCCCGGCTCCATGGTTTTGAGTTTTTGGATTTTTGGATTTTTGGATTTGTGTCAAAATTTGCAAATTCTGCAAAAAAGAAGTGTTTTTTGCATACAATTCTGTGTTTATAAGCCTGTCCTATGCAAATAATTCATAGACATGTTTTTCCAAATTGCATTTTCCTGTGTTTTTGGGGTGTTTTTTTATGTGGTGATGTGGAAGTAGTGCTAAACACACGCGTTTTTCACTATTTACAGGTTTTCTCGCATAGGACTAGACGTGCAAAAACAGGACATCGCCTAGCATAGCCAGCATGTCATTTTAATCGGTATTTACGAGGGTTTTTATAGGGACAAAGCAAAACCTAGATCATGGGGGGGGGGGGGTGACCATATATATATACATATACATAACATAATATATATATATAATATAATTATATATAATATATATATATGATATAATATAATATAATATAATATAATTATAATAATATAATATAATATATAATATAATATAATATAATATAATATATAATATAATATATATATATATATCATATAATATATACTATAATATATATATGTATATTATAGTATATAATATGATATATTATATATAATGTATAATACAGAATACATAGTACATAAGACATAACAAATATACAATACATACTACATAATACATAATACATAATACATAATACACAATACATAATACATAATACATAATACAGAATACATAATATAAATAGTACAGAATACAGAATATAAAGCATATAATATATAATTCATAATACATAGTACATAAAACATAAAACATAATATGTAATTCATAATACATAATTAATACATAATACATAATACATAATACATGATACATAATACATAATATATAATATATAATATATAATGTATAATATATAATAGGTCATGTGTAATGTAATGTGTATTATGTAATATGTATATATATATATGCACATACATACATACATAGATATACACACACGTTGACCTTCACTATCGTGTGTGTATATAATATATATTTATTGATTTTTATTTATTTGTTTAATTTAATTATTTATTTATACACCTAGGACCCGCAGGACCAGGCGGACAGACAAGCAGACCAGAGGACCAGAGGACCAGGGGACCACAAGACCAGGGGACCACAGGACCAGGGGACCACGGACCACGGCACCAGAGGACCACGGGACCAGAGGACCACGGGACCAGAGGACCACGGGACCAGAGGACCACGGGACCAGAGGACCACGGGACCAGAGGACCACGGGACCAGAGGACCACGGGACCAGAGGACCACGCATGTGGGCCGGATGGCTTATTTTTTCTTGATCCTTATTATTTTTTTATTGATCCCTATTATTTTTCTTTTTGATGCTTATTTTTTTTTTTTTGATGCCTATGCCGGGTTCAAGGCTTTTAGGGCACTCGGGGGGAAGTTTGGGGCTTAGGGCTTAGAGCTTAGGGTTTAGGGTTTAGCCTAGTTTAGGGTTTAGGGTTTAGGGTTTAGGGTTTAGGGAGTACTCTCCCCGGGGCCAGGACTCAGCGTGGGCGGCGCGCACTCCTTGACGCTGAAGCGCGACCTGGCACTTTCGGAGTGGCGGGTTCAGGGTTTAGGGTCTAGGGTTTAGGGTCCAGGGTTCAGGGCTTAGACCCTTCTAGGGTTTAGGTAGGGTTTAGGGTTTAGGGTTTAGGGTTTAGGGTTTAGGGTTTAGGGTCTAGGGTTTAGGGTTTAGGGTTTAGGGTCTAGGGTCTAGGGTCTAGGGTTTAGGGTGTAGGGTTTGGGGTCTAGGGTAGTAAGACTGCAACGTACGAGAACAAGCAACCGAGAGAAAGGAAAGGGAAAGGATGACTCCCAAACCCTCCCGAAACTCGGGTTTCCAGATTAAATATTGTTGTTTTGGTATATTCATGTACTGTACTACCATCGTATTACAGCATTACTTTCTTGTGTTTAGTATATTAGTCTACAAAACGCGCGTACATTACTCATGTTACACAGTTTCTTGGGTTTCCAGCCCCGGTGACAGCGGGGGCTGTGGCTTGGTCTGGGTTTAGGGATTAGGGATTAGGGATTAGGGATTAGGGTTTAGGGTTTAGGGTTTAGGGTTTAGGGTTTAGGGTTTAGGGTTTAGGGTTTAGGGTTTAGGGTTTAGGGTTTAGGGTTTATGGTTAGGGTTTAGGGTTTAGGGTTTAGGGTTTAGGGTTTAGGGTTTAGGGTTTAGGGTTTAGGGTTTAGGGTTTAGGGTTTAGGGTTTAGGGTTTAGGGTTTAGGGTTTAGGGTTTAGGGTTTAGGGTTTAGGGTTTAGGGCTAGGAGATAACTGAAGGCCCTCGAGGCGCTCCCCTGGGTGCCAGGCCCTGAGAGGGAATCTAGGATGAAGCTGTGCCGGGCGCGAAAGAAGGCCTGGAGCCCACGACCCTCAGGTTTCTTAGGCTTGTAGGAGTTCAGGGCTCGTAGGGTTTAGGGTTTAGGGTTTAGGTTTAGGATTTAGGGTTTAGGGTTTGGGGTTTGGGGTTTGGGGTTTCGGGTTTAGGGTTTGGGGTTTAGGGTTTAGGGTTTAGGGTTTGGGGTTTAGGGTTTCGGGTTTCGGGTTTGGGGCTTTGAGGCTCATAGGTGTTTAGGGCGCGTAGGGTTTAGAGCTCATAGGTGGGGTTCGGGGTTTAGGGCTTGGGGCTTGGGGTTCTGGACTTGTGGGCTAAAGATTTACCTGAACCCCCCCCCTGCACGGGCAACCTTAGGAGAGAGTAGGGTTTAGGGTTTGGGTATTTTGCTTGAGCCTCAGGGTTTGGGGGATCCTCTGCTGAAACGGGAGGGGGGGGAGGGGGAGGGTGGGGGGGAGGGGGGGGGGGGGGGGGGGGAGGGGGGGGGGGGGGGGGGGGGGGGGGGGGGGGTGTTGGTGTGGGGGGTGGTTGGGGTGGGGGGGGGGTTTGATGGGGGGGGTGTGAGGGGGTGGTGGGTCTGTCTGGGGAGGGGGGAGGGAGGGGGGAGGGAGGAGGAGGCTGCTTCTGGACGTGTAGGTCTTATCGGTTTTGGTTTTGGGGGGTGGGGTTGAGGGATAATCGGGCTTAGGAGTTGGGTTTGTGAAGGCAAAGAGATGTGAACAGATTCCCCCAAAAGCCGACAAGCCCCGAGAAGCTGTAACCCTTTCGCCCCTAGACCCTAACCCCCAAACAGGGCTCCGTGCTTTCTGGGAGATTTCTCTGTTTAGGGATCTGCACCCCAAGGTCTGAAATCCTGCATATCAAATGTCCCCGCAGCAACCCCTAACCTAAACCGCAAAGCCTAGACCCTAAACCCTAAACCCTATAAACCCCAAACCCTAAACCGTTCCCTCTCAAGTTTTTAGCGTGGAGGTGCCCAGGGGCCCTTCGCAGCTAAACCCTAAACCGTCAACCCTACAACCCGCAAAGCCTAAACCCGATAAACCCTACAAACCCCACAAACCCCCAAAATCCTCTGAACCCGAAAAACCCGCAACCCCATGAACCAACGCTTAACCCCAAACCTTGTAAATCCTAAAACCCTCTCAGGCCTTGATCTTGTGCACCTCTTCCTCGTACGCGGACGCCGTCACGTTCGCGACGCGGATACCGCTGTTCATGCCTCGCATGTCCCGTGGATGACCGTCGGGTTCAGGGTTTAGGGTTTAGGGTTTAGGCTTAGGGTTTTGGGGTTGAGGGCTTCAGGTTGAGGGCTTAGGGTTGCGGGTTGAGGGTTGAGGGTTTAGGGTTGAGGGCTTTAGGGTTTCGGGTGGAGGACTTCAGGGTATAGGATTGTTGAGCTTTTATCATGGACCTCGAGGCTGTCTTCCCTCCCAGATGCACTCAACTGGCGACTGTGGGGTTCCAAAGACCCCCATACCCCAAATCCAAAGCCGAAACCCTAAAACCCTAAACCCTTTATTCTAAACCCTAAACCCTAAACCATTTAACCCTAAACCCTCTACCCTAAACCCCAAACCGGGGCATCTCAAACTGGACACTTTTGACTCCAAAAACTGGGTCTCCCGGCCGTCCAGGTGTAGAGGCATCTGGCGCAGCGGGTTTAGGATTTAGGGCTTGGGATTTAGGGTTTGGGGTTTAGGGTTTAGGGTTTAGGGTTTAGGGTTTAGGGTGTAGTTTTTTTTTTTTTTTTTTTGGGGGGGGGGGGTGCTTCGGTAGCCTCTGCTGGGATCAGGATGAACTCCGAGCGCTACCGCCGATGGACTGCGGAGGACGAAGACGGCGATGTGCTTAAGAGCCCCCACATGAGAACAGCATTCTTCCTTCCTTATAAGGGCAATAGAGGGACTAAAAAAGAAAAGATGAGAACAGTATGATTCCTTCCTTATAGGGGCAATAGAGGGACTAAAAAATAGAGATGAGAACAGTATGATGATTCCTTCCTTATAGGGGCAATATAGGGACTAAGAACACGGATGAGAACGGTATTGTTCCTTCCTTAGAAGGGCAGTATGGGGATTATTATTTCAATTTTTTGGGGGTTCTTAAGCAAATAGTAGAAGAGGCTTGGCCTCCCGCATTGGGGTTCCAGGCTGAGGGTTGAGAGCTTAGGGTTTGGGGTTTAGGGTTTGGGTTTGGGGTTTAGGTTGGGGTTTAGGTTAGGGTTTGGGGCTTAGGGTTTAGGATTAGGGGTTTAGGGTCTAGGGTTTAGGGTCTAGGGCTGTCTAGGGTTTATGGTTTCAGTGGGCTGTGTGTGTAGGGCTATGACCCTAAAAGCGTAACGAAGCAATCATGACTAATTGTGTTTCGGGTTCAGGGTTTAGGGTTCTTGTTGGGATGACTCGATAACTCTTGCCATTGTTGATATTTATTTAGTGATCAAGCATCATGAGCAGATACAGATAGCAACATGAACATAAAGAAAACGCGTTTTGAAGTTTAGGGTTTAGGGTTTAGGGTTTAGGGTTTAGGGTTTAGGGTTTAGGGTTTAGGGTTTAGGGTTTAGGGTTTAGGGTTTAGGGTTTAGACTTGCATGTTCTGGGAAGGCCCGGTCCCTAAACTCTGCAGGCCTCGGCCCACTACAACAAACGCGAAAGCCCGCAAAGACCCCAAACCCGAAGACAACCCTAACCCTAAACCCGTACACGTTAATTAACCCCAAACCCCAAACCCTAAACCCTAAACCCTAAACCCTAAACCCTAAACCCCAAACCCTAAACCCTAAACCCCTACCCCTTAGACCCGAATCCGCACTGCCTCCTTGTCCTTGTCCTCGCCATTCAGGACCTTGACCACATGGCCTTGCGCATGCAGAGGTTTGCGGCTTCTCTTGCAGATCCCACTGAGATGTCCACCATATGTGTCCAAAACAGACTCAACCCTATACTCCCCTTAGAACCTTAATAAAGTAGCATTTTTAATATCCTCACTTGGGTTTTATATGAACAAAAAGAAGAAATGATTCCAAAGGGGATAGAGAATAACCGTAGCTGTGCCCGGGCTCTGCAGGGGCACAGCCTCCGAAGCCCTCAACAAGAACTTTTGGCTGCGCCAAAGGGCCCATACCCAGCAGAGGGGCTCTCTGAAGGAAGCCTTCAACCCCCAAGTCCCTGAAGTCCTACAAACCCTGAACCCTGAACCCTGAACCCTGAACCCTAAACCCTAAACCCTAAACCCTAAACCCTAAACCCTAAACCCTAAACCCTAAACCCTCCCCGGGCTCCCCGGCAGTAGTGGTTCTCCGTGGAGGGGACTTGCACGATTTGCCCCTCACTCCAGGTCGCCTCCCATGGCCCGGCTCTCTTAGGGGGGTTTAGGGTTTATGGGGTTTAGGGTTTAGGGTTTAGGGTTTAGGGTTTAGGGTTTAGGGTTTAGGGTTTAGGGTTTCGGGTTTAGGGTTTAGGGTTTAGGGTTTAGGGTTTAGGGTTTGGGCTGTTTCGGGTTTCGGTTGGTTGGTTGGGAGGAAGAGGAGGGACGTCTGCTGAGGGTTCAGAGTTTGGGGAATCAAGGCCCCCCAAAAGGCAGAAGCGCCTTCGTCCCCAATCCGACACAGAAAGCCAACCATGAAATCCCCAATGTGTTGGGGGGCAGGGCGACCCCCTAACCCCAAGCCCTCAACCTGGGTTTAGGGTTTAGGGTTTAGGGTTTCGGGTGTAGGGTTTAATCCCCTCCCCGAATATTAAATACCCCCCATTATAGTTATAATATGGTATATTGGGGTGTTTAATATTAGTGGGGAGGGGCGGTTTAATATTAGGGGAAGGGGTTTAGGGGCCACCCCAAAACCCCAGGCCCAGACCAGGCCTCACCACCGCTCTGCCTGAGGAGCTGAGGGTTTCACAGGGCACGAAACCCTGAGCGCTAAGCAATAATGTAGGGGCCTTAATAGTTAGAATAGGGTCTTGGGAGGTTATTAAAGTGCAATACTCTTAGTAATTATCCCGACCCTACATCAAACCCCTAAAGCCCTAAACCCCTCAACCCCTAAATTTTAAACCCCTGAACCCTATGGAGCCGTACGATACAGAGAATCCTCCATCGGAGGCGCAGGGGACACAACAAGAGACCAAACTGCTGGGTGCTCCAAACACAGCAAGCCCGGATGCCCAGGCCCTGGGTAATAAAACTTAAGGTTTCAGGGGCTTTTAAGCGCCGGCTTCCAAACCCTAAACCCTAAACCCTAAACCCTAAACCCTAAACCCTAAACCCTAAACCCTAAACCCTAAACCCTAAACCCTAAACCCTAAACCCTAAACCCTAAACCCTAAACCCTAAACCCTAGACCTGAACAGCCCGGCATTCTGGGCGCCCGTGCTTGAAGAGGATCTGCTTGCCCGACTGGTACCTAGAAGAGGGAAGGGGTTGCCGTGTTTCGGGGTGCTCAAGTGTCAGGTTTTAGGCGTTTAGGGTTTAGGGTTTAGGGTTTAGGGTTTAGGGTTTAGGGTTTGGGTTTAGGGTTTAGGGTTTAGGGTCTTTTAGGGCTTTGGGCTTAGGGTTTAGGGAGTCAGTGACATGCCTGCAAGGTACATATGGGATTGTCATGGCACGGCTTATCAGCTCTCCTGAACCCCTCACCCTCTCAACGCAGGGGGCCTGGAAGCCTGAATCCACTCGCCGAGGAGCAGCGTCGATATAATCACGCGGGTAGAGAATCGTTGCAGGCCCTTCCCGGTATCTGGTCTTATGGAGAAGGGAAAAATGGCGTTTTACATCTGCCTACATGTAGAGTGCACGCACATAGGGCGCCTTGCAAACTCCCAAACCTCCCCCTCTGCCTTACTTACTTCCCCAAAGCCCGAACCCGAAACCCTGAAACCCGAAACCCTAAACCCTAAACCCTAAACCCCCGCAACACCCCTTTGCGAGCTCAGGCGCTTCAGCGGAACCAGGTAGGTGTGGTTGGTGGGAAGCGGCTCAAACCTTGCATGACGGGGGGGGGGGTCTCCTTGGGGGGCTTTTGGAGGGCTAGTGTTTAGGGCTAAGGGGTAGGGCTTAGGGCTTTGGGTTTAGGGTTTAGGGTTTAGGGTATAGGGTTTAGGGTTTAGGGGTTAGGGTTTAGGGATTAGGGTGTAGGGTGTAGGGATAGGGAACCTTCGGAGGGCTGAGGTTGCGCCGGCTTAGGGCACTAAATTTCTTCAGCAAGGCGGGATCCAAACCCTAAACCCTAAACCCTAAACCCTTAACCCTTAACCCTTTAACCCTTTCAACCCTAAAACAAACTCAGCTGGGCGTTTGATCTGAGGGTGCTCGGGTATAGGCCTGGGGTTGCTCTTTGCATGGCCTGGCTGGGTCCCCTGGTAGACCCTAAGCCCCAAGCCCTTGTTCTTCAGAGTTTGGAGCTCCGGGTGTAGGGTTTAGGGTTTAGGGTTTAGGGTTTAGGGTTTAGGGTTTAGGGTTTAGGGTTTAAGGTTTAGGGTTTAGGGTTTAGGGGTTTAGGGGTTCAGGGTTTAGGGTTCGGAAAAACTCCCTGAAGCCCCTGGGATCAGGCGTGCGGCTCGGCAAAGCCATCGCCCTTCTCGCTTGTCAAGGGCTGTGCACCTGGAGGGATTTAGGGTTTAGGGTTTAGGGGTTAGGGGTTAGGGTTTAGGGGTTAGGGTTTAGGGGTTAGGGTTTAGGGTTTAGGGTTTAGGGTTTAGGGTTTAGGGTTTAGGGTTTAGGGTTTAGGGTTTAGGGTTTAGGGTTTAGGGCCTGGGGTTTGGGGTCGCCACTTCGCGAACAACCAGGCTTTAGGGCTGTCGGGTTAGGGTTCGTTATGGAGCTTAGGGAAACCGAAGTACCTCGGTGAAAGGACTGATTTGCGTGAGTTGATCTTTACTCGCCAACACCTCAACCCTAAATCCTGAACCCAAGAGCCTCAAAACCCTCTCACTTACCCCCTCCCCCCCCCCTCCAAACGCCAAGGGCTGCAGGCTCTTTAGGTCGGGAGGCTTCGAGTGTAGGCTTCTGAGCCCTAAACCCTAAACCCTAAACCCTAAACCCTAAACCCTTGGCTGAACCCTGTAGTACTTGCAACCCTTGGCGCCTCGCACCACGTAGGCCGAGGCGTTTTCGTTGAGGCTCTGCACCACCTGGTAGGGCTTCGGGTTTGGGGTTTGGGGTTTAGGGTTTAGGGTTTAGGGTTTAGGGTTTAGGGTCTAGGGTTTAGGGTTTAGGGTTTAGAAGTATTTTGGGCTTAGGGCTGAAGGAGGGGTTCTGAGGGTTTCTTGGATTCAGGGTTTAGGATTCTTTGTTCTTTGGGTTTAGGGCTTAGGGTTTCGGATTCTTTTGGGTTTTAGGGCTGAAGGAATGAGAGTTGACGGCTTACTTGCTTGTGCAGGGGGGCTTTAGGGCTTTTTGGGCTCGAGGGAAGGAGGGGGACTTGCTTGGGGATTCCCCAGTTAAGAGCTTCTGCATAACCTCCGGTTTAGGGTTTGGGCTTGACTACCTAACTCATGGGCTCCCATGAATGCGGAGGGCGGACGCCATCTCTGGTTTAGGGTTTAGGATTTAGGGTTTAGGGTTTAGGGTTTAGGGTTTAGGGTTTAGGGTTTAGGGTCCGCCGACCCTGGCGGCGTGTTGGATGGGTTTCTGGAGATGAAAAACCTCGCCCCAAAACGGGGGGGGGGGGGTACCCCGGGGGTTTAGGGTTTAGGGTTTAGGGTTTAGGGTTTAGGGTTTAGGGTTTAGGGTTTAGGGTTTAGGGTTTAGGGTTTAGGGTTTAGGGTTTAGGGTTTAGGGTTTAGGGAAGTTCTGGTCGGTGCAACCCCTGACCCTCAACCCTAAGGCCCCAAACCCTAAACCCCGTAAACCCTCAACCCTAAACCCCATAAACCCTCGACCCTAAACCCTAAACCAATAAACCCTGAATTTTGAAGGGAGGTCGAGGCCCAGGCCACTGCTGGAGACCGCACCGCCCAGTTCGGAACCTCCGGCAGAGGAAGAGGGTTTAGGGTTCAGGGCTCAGGGTTCAGTGCTTCGGGTTTATAGGGTATAGGGTTTAGGGTTTAGGATTCAGGGTTTAGGGTTTTAGGGTTTAAGGGTTTAGGGTTTAAGGGTTAAGGGTTAATGGTTAAGGGTTACGGGTTAAGGGTTAATTCAGGGTTAAGGGTTAAGGGCTAAGAGGTTCAGGGTTAAGGGTTAAGGGTTTAGGGTTTAGGGTTCAGGGTTAAGGGTTTAGGGTTTGGGGTTTGGGGTTTAGGGTTTAGGGTTTAGGGTTTAGGGTTTAGGGTTTAGGGTTTAGGGTTTAGGGTTTAGGGTTTAGGGTTGAGGGTTGAGGGTTGAGGGTTGAGGGTTTAAAGTTTAGGGTTTAGGGTTGGGGCTGATACCTTAAGGCTTAAGGCGCTTTCAAGGCGCCTATGGCCAAAGATTTAGTGCTTCGTGCTTAGGGATTTGTTTACCCGAAACCCTAAACCCTAAACCCTAAACCCTAAACCCTAAAACCCTAAATAAACCCTTTTCGATTCTTGGAGGCGCCCGTCTGGGGGGGGGGGGGGGATGAATTGGGGGTTTCAGGGCTTTGGGGGTGGTTGAAGGGGGTGTTGCTCCCAGACGGGCGCCTCCAAGAATCGAAAAGGGTTGATTTAGGGTTTTAGGGTTTCGGGTTTAATGCTGGACTCGGCTTAGCTACAAGGGCCGCTATCAAGCGTTTTTTCCGGAAAACTGACAGGGGACCCCCCCACTCATGAGGGTGGCCCTCAATTGCGCGAAGTGCGCGGCCCGGGGATGAAGGGTTTAGGGTTTAGGGTTTAGGGTTTAGGGCCGGGGAGCCAAAAACTAAGAATTATTTTGACTAGGAAACTCAGGAATTTTCTAGTGTTTTCGGCTGTATTTAAACTCCTTTCCAGATGTCATTACGAAACAGGCCCCCAAACAATTTTCTAAGGGAGTAAGTAGACCACGAGCTGCCCTGGTTCGCGTTTAGTAAAGTTTAGGGTTTAGGGTTTAGGGTTTAGGGTTTAGGGTTTAGGGTTTAGGGTTTAGGGTTTGGGGTTTAGGGTTTAGGGTTTAGGGTTTAGGGTTTAGGGTTTAGGGTTTAGGGTTTAGGGCTTAGGGCTTAGGGTTTAGGGTTTAGGGTTTAGGGTTTAGGGTTTCGGTTACCCACATTAATCCGCAGCCCCCCTGGCCAGGAAAGCTACAAAGCCTGTAAAGCTTAGACCCTCAAGCTTCAAGGCTTCCCCTCATGCCCCTATCACAGCAAACCCTAAACCCTAGCCCTACCCCCAGCCCCCGTCCCAGCCTATAGAGGATTCTAGGGTTTAGGGTTTAGGGTTTAGGGTTTAGGGTTTAGGGTTTAGGCCTAATGCCCATGAAACAGTCCACACAACAGAGCCTGAAGCCCTTGAGCCTCATGCAAGCCGTTCAAATCCCTCTCGATCGGACCTCAACCCTCGAGCCACTACCCTACCGCATGAACTCTGAGTTAAACCCCCCGAAACCCACCAAACCCAGCCCCCAAACCCCAAAAACCCTAAAGCCCAACCCCCTGAAGCCCTAAAGCCCAAGCCTAAACCCGAACCCCTGAAGCACCAAAACCCTCAACCCCAATCCCCTCAAAACCCGAAAAAAACAAAAAAACAAAAAAAAAAAAAAAAACGACCGACCTAAACCGCGAACCCTCAACCCTAAACCCTAAACCCTCCCGCCTCGGCCGCAACGTCCACGCAAAGCATGGAGCCCGGCGGGTAGCAGTGGCAGGGCGCCTGCAATGACACATCCAATCCTTGGGTCCCCCAAAAGAAGCCCTCAGCTTGTTTAGGGTTTAGGTTTTAGGGTTTAGGGTTTAGTGTTTAGGGTCTGGGGTTTAGGGTTTAAGGTTTAGGGCTTAGGGCTTAGGGTTTCGGGTTTCGGGTGTAGGGTTTAGGGCTTAGGGCTTCAAATTACACCATTCGGGGTATACGAAGACCTTCATCCTCTTTGCGCTTTGATTTGCATCGACAGACGGTAGCGAACCTCGGATCTCTCACACACACACAGATCCCAAAAAGGATGCGCCCCAATGCCCACACCAAACACCCAAAAAACTGCTATGCCCCTTAGCCTTGACACCTAAAAACCAAAAAAAGGCCTTAGCAAACCCCTCAGGAAACCCCTCACCAAAACCCAAAACATCCCAGAACCCCCAGAAGCCCTAAAACCCTAGACCTAGAACCCTAAATCCCTAAAACCCTAAAAGCCCAAAACCCTGAAAATCCTAAACCCTAAACCCTAAATCCTAAATCCTAAACCCTAAACCCGAAACCCTAAACCATCCCTATATCCCCAAAGCCCCTTTTCCTAGGAGGAGGGCCCTGAGAAACCCCTCTGAAAAAGACTCATGAACATCATCCTCTCAAACCCAACAAGGGGAACATAGACATGTCCCAAGGGCCCAAACCCTAAACCCTAAAACCCAAACTCTAAACCCTAAACCCTAAACCCCAAACCCCAAACCCTAAACCCCAAACCCTAAACCCTAAACCCTAAACCCCAAACCCGAAACCCCAAACCCTAAACCCTAAACCCTAAACCCCAGGTGCACCCCGACGATGAGCTCCAGGGGCATCAGGTCAGCCCCAGCTCGATCCTTGACCTGAGGGTCTTTGAACCCAGAGTTTAGGGTTTGCGGGTGTAGGGTGTAGGGTGTAGGGTTTAGGGTTTAGGGTTTAGGGTTTAGGGTTAGGAATTCGAACAGGGTTTCGGGGGGGGTATTATAGACAGGGACCCTTTGCGAATATGATCAGTAATTATTCCGACCCCTATGTGGGTGGTTGTCAAAATTATGATCACTTTTGGGTACCCTAAACATAAGGTGCCGTATTATACTAGGGGGGGACCATAGTTAAACCCTAAACCCTAAACCCTAAACCCTAAACCCTAAACCCTAAACCCAGTTATTCCGACCCCTATATTAACCGCCCAAGCATTTGAGGTTGGCAGCCCTCAGGTCCAGATCCGTGAGCTCTTGCAGCTCCAGTGCCCGCTTGGAGTTGAGGGTTTAGGGTTTAGGGTTTAGGGTTTGGGGTTTAGGGTTTAGGGTTTAGGGTTTGGGGTTTGGGGTTTGAGGGTTTGGGGGTTTGGGGGTTTGGGGGTTTGGGGGTTTGGGGGTTTGGGGTTTGGGGTTGGGCCTGGGGTTGAGGGATTCGGTGCTAGGGGTTAGGACTGAAGGCTTCGGGTTGAGGGTTGAGGAGCTGTCGGGCCTATAGGATTGCGCGCTCCATTCCCCCTAATACTCAACCCCCCTAACCCCTGTAATTTAAGACGAAATCTTCCCATTCTGGTTATATTACAGTGTATGAGTATTTAATGGCGGGGTTTCTAGGGGGAAGGGCTGAATGGTTTCGGGGGGAAGCGATTCATGGTCTAAGTCAGGGGGCCACAACGGAGAGGCACAGAAAGCCATCCACGTCCTGCGCGAGACGTGCAGCTCGGGTTTGGGGTTTCGGGTTTAGGGTCTAGGGTTTAGGGGTTTCGGGTTTGGGGTTTAGGGTTTGGGGTTTCGGGTTTGGGGTTTGGGGTTTAAGGTTGGGGTTCAGGGCTTAGGGTTTTTGGGTGGAATACGCAACTGTGATTAGGGTAGCTTCTGCGCCACGCAGGAAGGGGGGACTTGCTCGAATAATTCCCTAGGTGAGGGATTCTGCAGGGTCCTTTGGGCTACTTGGGCTATGTGTGGCTATGTGTGGCAGCGCAGGATTCATTCGTGAATCCCAAGATTCATGGAACAGTCGTGGCTCTGTTTTCCATTGCACCCAGGTGTGCCAGTGGAGCACATGGGAACAAGCAACATCCCACGTTATTTCCATTCGCAACTTCGGAAATTAGCAGGTGTGTATATTAAACGAGGGGCTGGAAAAATGCTGCAGGGAGCTGGGAAGCTGCACCCCTTCCAAGCTCTGCCTGAAACAGTCGTCGCAGCCGAAGGTCAACGTGTGTAGGTCGCTTGGAAGCTGCACCCCTTCCAAGCTCTGGTCGAAACCAGCGCCGAAGGTCAGGGTCTGTAGGCCGTGGGGAAGCTGCACTCCTTCCAAGCTGTGGTTGAAACGGCTGCCGAAGGTCAGGGTCTGTAAGCCGCTGGGAAGCTGCACCCCTTCCATGTTCTGGTTGAACACGATTCCGAAGGTCAGGGCCTGCAGGCCGCTGGGAAGCTGCACAGCTGCCAAGCTCTGGTTGAAGCGGTCACCGAAGGTCAGCGTCTGTAGGCCGCTGGGAAGCTGCACCCCTTCCATGCTCTGGTTGAACTCAGAGCCGAAGGTCAGGGTTTGTAGGCCGCTGGGAAGCTGCACTCCTCCCAAGCTCCGGTTGAAATCACTGCCGAAGGTGAGGGTCTGTAGGCCGCAGGGAAACTCCACCGGTTGCAAGCTCTGGTTGAAATCTCTGCCGAAGGTCAGGGCCTGTAGGCCACTGGGAAGCTGCACTCCTTCCAATCTCGTGTTGAAATCACTGCCGAAGGTCAGGGTCTGTAGGCCGCTCGGAAGCTGCACCCCTTCCAAACTTAAATCACAGGTCAAGGTCTGTAGGCCGCTGGGAAGCTGCACCCCTTCCAAGCTCTGGTCGAAACCAGCGCCGAAGGTCAGGGTCCGTAGGCCGCTCGGAAGCTGCACCCCTTCCATGCTCTGGTCGAAGCCAGCGCCAAAGGTCAGGGTCTGTAGGCCGCTGGGAAACTGCACCCCTTCCAAGCTCCGGTTGAAATCTCTGCCGAAGGTGAGGGTCTGTAGGCCGCAGGGAAACTCCACCGGTTGCAAGCTCTGGTTGAAATCTCTGCCGAAGGTCAGGGCCTGTAGGCCACTGGGAAGCTGCACTCCTTCCAATCTCGTGTTGAAATCACTGCCGAAGGTCAGGGTCTGTAGGCCGCTCGGAAGCTGCACCCCTTCCAAATTTGAATCACAGGTCAAGGTCTGTAGGCCCCTGGGAAGCTGCACCCCTTCCAAGCGGGCGAAACGGTCGCCGAAGGTCAAGGCCTGTAGGCTGCTAGGAAGCTCCACCTGTTCCAAGCTCTGGTCGAAACGGTCGCCGAAGGTCAGGGTCTGTAAGCCGCTGGGAAGCTGCACCCCGTCCAAGCTCTGGTTGAAATCGCTGCCGAAGGTTAAGGTCTGCAGGCCGCTGGGAAGCTGCACACCTTCCAAGCTCTGGTTGAAACGATCGCCGAAGGTTAAATTCTGCAGGCCGCTGGGAAGATGCACCCCTTCCAAGCTCTGGTTGAAATCGCCGCCGAAAGTGAGGGTCTGTAGGCCGCTGGGAAGCTGCACCGCCTGCAAGCTCTGGGCGAAACGTTTGCCGAAGGTCAAACTCTGTAGGCTGCTGGGAAGCTGCACCCCTTCCAAGCTTTGGTTGAAGAAAAACCCGAAGGTCAAGGTGTGCAGGCCACTGGGAAGCTCCACCCCTTCCAAGCTATGGTCGAAACCTTCTCCGAAGTTTAAGGTTACAGCGGCCGCCATGGCATCCGTGTCTTCGTTCAACCCTGTCCTTGCGAATGCTCGGACTAGACTGCGTGCCGAGCAGCCTGCACCAAATTTGCGCGCTACGTATGTGACCTCTTGGGTTTGAGTTTGTAGCCGCGTGGCACAAGTCCAAAGTCATGCGGAATCATGCCATGGTAAGTCCGTGTGGCACTCTGCTCATTTGATAATGACGGGTCACTTTCGCGCTGGCCCCCTCATCAGTGTTTTCCTGCTGCTGATTTCAGAATGGTCAGATGGAAATTCATCGCTTACAATCCACAATCTCTCAAACGAGCTGACAGAGAGCGCCGAGTCATACATGCATTACACAGCAATGATGTCATCGCACTGTCCGGCACCCGTCTGCCAGATGGCGACATCGCAGTCAGTCAGCGTAGAGTTGAAACGCATGCTGTGTATAGTTGGGGATACGGAACAGGGAGGCTCACCAACTCTCATGCTGGAGTTCAGCTATGCCTCAAACGCAGCCGCTTCGCAGCTGATAACGTGGTACAGATTTCGTCCCCGCCCAGCGAGTTGCAAGGTCGTGGTGGGGCACTGCGGGTCAAGCGACGTGACTCCGACTTTGCATTCATCGTGTGCTACTTCCATCCCAACTCCAATCTGCCGTATTCGAAACGCGTCAACACTGCACTTTGGAAATGGGTTGATAGTGTTGTCAGTGCTCTGCCGGCACGATGTGTGCCCTGCTTGCTTGGCGACTTCAACGCGCGTGTTGGTAAGGAACATGTGGCAAACAACATATGGACGACCACGCAAGATGAGTCCATCGGCCCGTGCAATGCAGACAACGAGAATTGGAACGGAGAACAGTTCCGCCAGTTCTTGCAGAGGCATTACCTCGCAGCTACCAACACTTATCACAATGTTGGACCAACCTATTTCGGAATCGTTGCAGATTATACGTCCCGCGTGGATTTTATATGCATTCCATCCAGCATGTTATCTCAAGTCCAGCATTGCTCTGTGTGGCATCACACAGGCGACGATCTGCAGCTGGTGGCGGCTCCAGGCCGCCGAGATCACAGACCTCTACAGATCAAGCTCGACCATTCGTTGGGGCTGCAGCCGACACTCACCATGCAGCAACAGTCCCCGACACGCTGGGATATGGACAGACTCATGCGAGGCGTTCTTCGAGGACACTGTCGAGAGCAACTGGTGGCAGAGGTTGAGTCCCGGTGCAAAGACCTCTTGGAGAGTTCCCAATGGCAGCATGCCCAGTCGGCAAGCACGCCAGATGATGCCTGGACCATGCTACGTGATGTGGTGTTGTCCGTTGGCAGAGAGTTATATCAGTCTCGCCCAGTCAAACTCCAAGAGCGGAAAGTTGACACAGCAGCCGCTCTGGAGCACCAGCATGAATGCAAACTACAAATCCAACGGCTTCCTCGCCCGCGTCGTTTCTGGAGCCAAGGAGCTGACCGAGATACTGTGTCATTACAAGCGCTATCAGATTTGCTGTGCAGATGGCATGCTTTGGCGCGGTATCACAAGGCTCAGCGGCTCGCTAAACGACTCACAACAAGAGATAAGAGAAGACGTGCCTGTGAACATGTGCACCAGCTTCACGAAGGTTGGCAGAGTGCCAACTTCCAGTCCATGTGGCGAGCTGCCCGAGCGCTTTCAGGCAGGCGTGTGGGTCCCAAACAACGCAGGTTCGATAGGCCGAAGAGTTGCAGGCCCAGTATGCAGCAATGGCGGCAGCACATGGCACAAGTGGGGCGTGATGGAGGCTGCAAGGCCGTTGCTACAAACTGGACAGCGCACGTCCAACAGTTTGCTCATGGAGCTACTGGCTGGCAACAAAAATGCCGAGCTGATCCGGTATGGCGTAGTCAAATGCAGCAGTTGGCAGCTGAGGACTTGCGTGCTGTGGCTACCCAAGTTTGGCATGCAAAAACACGCAAGGCTGTACCTTGTTGGACTATTCCCAATGAAGTGTGGCGCATGCTGCTATATCCCAACTACAACCTGGCAAGAGCTCGACATGGTCTTGGGCACAAGTCCGCGTGTTTGCAAACTCCGCATCTGCAAAACGCGCTACAGCAGCTCTTCGTGCACATACGATGCTCAGAATCAGCGCCCTTGGAGTGGCATTGCTCGC